GCGTCCGTCTCCCCCTAGCGACTGGACGTAACACAATGAAACCACCGATGTTGTGTAATCCCAGATTATCTCTAGCATAGAGTGCCTTTCACCTGCCCATCCAGCGTGGCTATCCCATTATCCTCTCCATTTCTGAGATCTGCAACAAGTGTTATCTAAAGGCTTTTTCTTGGCCAAAGTACTTGTAATCCTGGTCCCCACATAGCAGAGCCACTACATGAGACCTGTTATGAGGTGCTATACTGGCAAGACTAACGTACACTGCAAGAACTTTATGCTTCTTTTTGCCTGAGCCAAGAGGTTTGGCAACTTCAAATGTATCCTGATATAGTACCAAACCCAAGGCGTCATCTGATTGAAACAACAAATTACTTGTCATATTACTACGATCCCATACATCCCCAAAATGTCTTTTGGTCCATAACAAGACCGCATCTGCTGCTTTTGTGCATGAACTTGCTGTCTGACTGAGTCACACTGAAGAAGTGACTGACAAGAGGTGCATACTGAACAAAGCATTCCTTTCCAGATTCATTCTGCCCAAGATAAAAAAAAACATAGTTGTCTTTAGAGTATAAGTGTTGCAAACCCCCAAAAGATCATGTGATTTCAAGGCATCTTAAACATTCTTAACGTCACCATCAGGAATCCTTAAAGTTGCCAGCTTTTCCTCAGTTTATGAAAACTGAAACAGATGAGATTGACTCATGTCATGCACTGCCTGGAAATCTGATGCTCGGTGTAACTGTAGATGAGAGCAACAACTTAGCTTGAAGTTTAAAGTAAAACAAAGTTCAAAGTTCTTCAGGAAAAGTGGCCCATCTGTGCTTTCTGGAAACACTTCTTCCTGGTCTCTGTCTGTGTCATCATTAAGATTGGAAGTCTCTGCTTCTTCATGAGAGCCCCCTGCTTGCTCAACAGTATTCTCTCATTAGCGTTACCTCTATCTGATGTTGTCGGGCTTAAAAGATTATCAACTGCACAGCGTTTATGTGTTCTTGACAAGTCTGATGAAAATGTGGATATCCGATATCTCAGTAAAAACTTTACAACAGTTTTGGAATTGGACATAAGACTGGTCTTGAGTGAGTTTTGGAGGTTAGATTAACTGTTTGGCCAAAATTAGTCTTTGTAATCTACTGTTTGAAGAGTTTTGAAAATGTGGTTTCAGTATTGAACAATCCTTGCTAGCAATTGAAAAAACAGGTGCATTGTTTTCCTCTGAAATGTGAAATTACCTCAAAGAAATGTATTATCTATGTAGCTGAGGGTTTATGGTGTGCAATTGAAAACAACGTAATATCAGTGCAGTGAAAGGTGCATTGTTTGCCTCTGAAATGTATATTGCAGGTGCAATACAAGTACCTCAAATAAATGTATAGCCGAGGGTTTATGATGTGCAATTGAAAGGTACATGGCACAACGCACATGTTCAGCGAGTGCACCACTGCCCCCCTCCCATCCCCTCCCCTCATCCCCATCCCTCGTCGCGGTTGCCGTGGCGTTGCCTCTGGCGTTTTGGGCTGAAAATGTGCACATTCCAGAGCATTTTCATTATGATGTGTGAGGAGTTCAAAGGGTGCGCTTAATAAAACTTCACATGCATGTAGCGGTTAGTGTAAGATAAACCACGCAACACTGAAAGTGAGAGTTCAGTTGGGAAAACAGTTACATGTTAAACATTTACAGGAAGTAAGCATACTAAGGTTAAGGGTCCAAGTGTTGCTACGGTCTGGCTCCTCCACCACAACAAATGACGGATGATTACAGCAATTAAGGTTTTTTAACAAAAAAAGTTGATTCCATGAATATAAACCCGACTTTTGAAAAAAAACGGCATTGATGGAAGAGAGGCTTGTCGCCCCCCCAGTCGCACCGGGTGTCTTCAGGAAGAATGAGGCCCCGACACATCAGGTTGGGCGTCTCTTAAAGGCTGGCTGCGCTGGCCAGCCGCCTCCAATCTGGTAAACAGCCTCACCCTCCAACCACCCAGGAACATGCAAGACAGACAGACACACACCAACGGTCCTGGGACCCTCACAGTATGCATGAAACGGCAGTCTAACAGGGCTAAAAGGTCATTTCCAGGGAGAGTTTCTTAGCTCGCATTAGACGGGCAGGTGACACTTTTTTTAAATTATATTTTCCATCCCATTCATATCAATCAGTGAGTTTTGAATGAACAAACGGATGGATTGATAACTCTAGTAATCCACGATAGAAATGCTCTTGTGCAGCATTCAGCAAATAAACCGCACTTCAAAACACACAAATCCCACCTGCGTGCTTCACGGGCCGCTGCACGAGTGCGTTACCACTCGCCTCCATTGTGCAACTACCCTCCTATACCGATAAACAAAGGTACCTTTCTCCTTTATCTTCCAGATACGACTGTCAGAAGATCTGGGGCCTGTTTGAGCGGGCCCACGTGGGACGGGACCCTTGTGAAGTTCCTGTGGAAGCCTTCAAGCCTTTGATCGGCGGCGTGCCTTTCACACCCGAATGCAACCCGGGTAAACATCATCACGTTCACGCGTTCGCCTCTTAATCAATGCAACGCGATAGGTTCAACTTCTGTTTTGTGACCTTGCAGGACACCCTGCTGGGATCGGTGATGAGTAATCCTCTGTGGAATAGAGGATTTATAAGGAGGTAACGTGCTTTTCTAAATCCGTGGACAATGTCTCCTCACTTCCCCTGCAGAGCACCAGCTTTCCCTCATTGGTCAGGTGAAGTTGGCGCATCTCCATGTGAAGGAGTACATTGGTTTGCCTCTGTATACTATATACTACCAATACTGCAGGTGCAATACAACTACCTCAAAAAACGTTTATAGTGCGTCTTTACTCAGTAATACAACAATAGACACGTGTTCCCTTTTTATCTTTCCATCTCCCCCTTTACAATAAAAGCATCTACACTGCAACACCAGTGAAATAATAGCTCACATCTACATTATTTATTTGGCACCCTCGCAACTTACTTCGGACAGCCTGCGTGGCCACGGGCACAACGCACGTGCACGAGCGCACCGGCCCCCCTCCTCTCACAGTTTTTTTCAATCGCTAACGAGCGTTTGTCCAAACAGTTGTCACATTTTTAAAACTCTAAACACAATTATCACAGCATCGGTGTTCTGTGGCCATACCATTCACACATTTCATGTCGTTTTCACACAATATGCAGTCAGTCAACACATGTCCACAACATTTTTCTTAACAGACAAGCCATACCTCCCAACAAAACGATGGATTGTTTTAGTAGTATTCACAAATGTTAACACACTATCCCACAATACCAAAAACAATATTCCAAACCGTAGATACAGTATAAAAACCTCTGCTTCTGCAATGATATCAGTTCAAAAACAATATATCTCAGCTCTTCCACCCTCTGGGGAAAGAGGAAAGCTCCTCAATTATGATCAAGAGCTTGCCATTGTAGAAATGGTTATTGCAAATAATGCAATTAAACTGCATGAAATTAAAATTACAATTGTGGAGGACCATGAGATATTTGCCAATATAGAAAGCATCAGCCTCACAACCATTACGTGGACATTGTCCAAACACAGAGTGCGGATGAAGCAGCTCTACACTGTTCCCTTTGAGAGGAACAGTGAGAGAGTCAAGGAGCTACGACGACAATATGTCCAGGTATAGTGTATATTCAATTCAATGTCCAGTTATATAAGCTTTGCACTTTGCAAGTAGGTAACCTACACAGTAATGGGTTACAGTACAGTTTGGTAGACACTAATGGCATGACATAAACTTTGTTTCAGAGAGTTATGGAAGTGGAGGCCAACCAGACCCCATTTACATCGCTGAGGCAGGATTCAATCTGTCCAAAAGGCGTCGACGTGGACGAAATATAATTGGAAAAAGGGCCACAGTTGATGTGCCAGGACAGAGAGGGGCAAACATTACTATGTGTGGAGCAATGTCAAATGCAGGATTACTCCTTTACAGATGCCAGGTTGGACCCTATAATACAGAGCGCCTCCTTGCGTTTCTTAATGATCTCCACCAGCGCCTGGTACCAGAGCAGGGTCAGGAGGGTGAAAACATGAGGACCTTTGTAATTACCTGGGACAATGTTGCTTTCCATCATTCACAAGCAATAACAGCATGGTTTGAAGTCCACCCAATACTGGTGAGTCTCTTCCTTCCACCCTATTCACCTTTCCTCAACCCCATAGAGGAGTTCTTTTCTGCATGGAGGTGGAAGGTCTATGACCATCAGCCACATGACCAGATGTCCCTCCTTGAAGCCATGGATGCTGGCTGCAGGGACATCACAGTTCAAGATTGCCAAGGGTGGATCCGACATGGCAAGCGGTTTGATCCCAGGTGCATCGCCTTAGATGATGTCAGATGTGATGTTGATGAAAACATGTGGCCGAACCCTGAAGATCGCAGGGATTAGATGCATACATTGTTTGCTATTTTGAGTTCCCCCCTTTTCATCTGGGCTTTTGGCTGTTGTTGTTTTTTTCAGAATGCTCGTGTGTTTCATGGATATTTTGTTACATTACATTACATCACATGTCATTTAGCGGACGCTTTTATCCAAAGCGACGTACAATAAGTGCATTCAACCATAGGGTACAAACTCAGGAGAACAGTTAAAATAAAATAAAATAAACCTTTTCTGTTCTATTATAATGCTTCTACTGTACCTTCTTTGGTAAACAGTTAAGAAAAAATAACTGATTTGCTTTTTACTGGAATGCGTTTGAATGTGAACATTATTGTACATGTGCGCAAACAGTTCCAAACCAATAAATTTGGTGTAAATGGTGGATTGCATGTTACCTGAAACATAAAAGTCTATGCAATTTTTATAATGTCAACAATAGCCAGAATTTTGAAACCTGGTGTACTTCGTTGGACTGCATAAGTGAAAACAAATGTTATTCTTTGACAGAATAATTTCATTTTGAGTCAGATTTCCAGTGTTTTGGTAAAGTTAGTGTGTGCAGAGAAAGATGTGTTCTGTTTTGAAATTAAGAGTTGGTATATATTTAACAAAATGTGTTTTTGAGAAGAAAATTATCAATTTGGCCAAGTGTGTCTTGTAGGTGTGAGTCTGTGTTAAGAGTTTAGAAAAAAATTCTGAAGTATGGGTAAGTGCTTGTTAGCGATTGAAAAAAACTGTATATATTATAGTGCAAGGCAATTTCTTACGTAAGTATAGATAACACACTCATGCACAAGTAAAGTAAAGAAGAGTTATTGTCAGTGTTGTTAATGTAAATTTACGATAATACATCATATTTTGTTGGAATCCTTTTGCGTAAAATCTGCAAAGTAGCTTAATTTCAGTTTATTTGAGTAAAAAGTTCATCCTCGCAACTCACTTCGGGCCCCTCGAGGGACTCCTGCTGGAAGGCTCCGCGCACGCGCTCAGCAAGTGCACCAGCCCCCTCCCCGGTAAATAAAAGCGCGGCCCCGCGCGACGTCTCATTGACAGCAAACAACCGGTCCAATGGGTGACACAGAGTCCGGTCCCGCGAAGAGGATACGCAAGAGACGCCGCAACATCGGCATCGGCATCGCGGTCGCGGTCCTGGTTCTGGTGATCATCGTGGTCGCCGTGGCGGTGCCTCTGTCGTTGCGCACGTTTAAGCGCGGCTTCATCCAGAGGTGCGAGGACTTCAAGGAGTGAGTATTTTAAAAGTTCCCGTGCATGAGGCTGTTAGTGTAAAATAAACCACGCAGCACTGAGACTTGAGAACAAGTCAGTTTGGAATACAGCTTAAGATATGTTCAATATTTGGAGCAAATATTCTAAGGTTAAAGCCGGCTGGTCCAGGATGGCCCCACCTTGATCCACAAAATATATAAATATATCTATATAATAATATTACAAATACATTTTTACAAATGGTCAATATTTCTGTATTTATGTTTTTGAAACATGGAATGTACAGAGTAATATTGTTAACAACATAACAATGATGTGACTTATTGGCAGTGAGGGACAGAATTTAGTCCACATTCAGTCCTACAACAATTGGTGTTGTTTTGTAAAGCACGTATTTAAAAAAAAAAGAGCTCCATCAATAAAATCCTTACCATCATAAAGAAACTACGTGAAAACGTGTTCCTTGTTCATCCTGTCCACCTCATATCGAAAGTAGATATTGACTTTACAATCAATAAGACGTCATGTAATCAAGTCATTGATCAGAAGAGCAAGCAAAGCGAAACCTCTGGACTCAACTCAAGCTTTTAACTTCTTCCTTTTTAACATTTCCCAGCAAAAAGGGGCTGATCCGCTCCAAATACGACTGTGAGAAGATCTGGGGCCTGTTTGAGGAGGCCTACGTGGGACGGGACCCTTGTAAAGTTCCCGTGGAAGCCTTCAAGCCTTTGCTCAACGCCGTCCCCTTCAAACGCAAATGCAACCAGGTAAACGCCGCTCGTCACGTGCACGACATCGCCTCTTAATCAATGCAGCACAATAGGTTCAACATCTGTGCGTTTCTGTTCGGTGGAGTTAGACGATGCTCTGGAGCAAGACGAAGGCTTTGGTCCATGACTTCACCAAGAAGAGAAAGTGTTTTGAGACCTTGGAGGACACCCTGCTGGGATCAGTGCTGGACGAAATGAACTGGTGCGGAAAGGAGGGCAGCAATGGTGAGACACTTTGTGCAGATTACATCATTGCAGAATTTAATATTATCTACTAAAAATTGATTAAAAGCTGAATGACAGAAAGAAGAGTAGCAGCAGCTCTTTAACAATATATATATATAATATAATATTTGGATTGGAAAAGGAAAAAAGAACAAATGTCACAGTTCAAGGAGGTAAAATAGTTTTCTATCATGCTGGTAGTGAGAGCATCTTCATCTTTGCAGTAATAGCACGCAAAATATCTTCAAAAAGCATTAGCCAATCAAAAAAGGGAGAGTGGTTTCTTCCAGAAGGATCTCCATCCATTCTATTTATTAAAAATAATATCCTACAAGTTTCCTCACCCAAGACAAACATAACTCCTGTTTTCTTTTTTTCAAGTTAACATACAGTAAGTGTCGACTCTGTGCTCGTCGCTATAGAAACATTTACTACCGGCTGCCCAGAAAGGAACGACTGTGAGACCAGCGCCGTTCGCTCCTTTTGGAACGGAGCCTCCGCTGCTGTAAGTCATCAACAAGGACTCTCTGGTTCTGGCAACAACACGACACACGTGTGCTCGAGCAGCGGCCACAATAACGCACACGTGGAGCACGAGGTCAAACACCTCCTGTGATCAGGAAGAGAGCGGAGGAGAGGAATCAGTCAGCCGGCCCGCTTCCTCATCAATGAGGCTTTGTGCCGGTCTCCATGGAGACGCACCGCCGGGCTCTCTCCTGCACGAGCCGACCCACACACACCAAAACCAACACACACCAGAACCTATACACACCAGAACCTACACACACCAGAACCAACACACACCAGAACCAACACACACCAGAACCAACACACACAGGGTCTGGTATGTCTGGGTCTCATTCCGTTATGAAACCACCTACACATACGCACACTTTTAACCATAGTTCTCATAACAAAGCAACAAAAACACACAGATTTAATCGCAAAGGGCCAAATGTTTGGGTTTAAATTGTTGGTTGAGACTAAAAGCAGTGAATATTGAGCAATATTGAGCAATGTCTGTCAGCGTCCTTGTTTCTCCGGCCTCCAGCTGGCCAAAAATGACAGTTCAGCGCTTGGCTTTTACAGTAGAAGTGTTAAAAATTCCGTCAGTACTAAATTAGGAAGCATTGCATGTTTATGTAACTCCTGCATGAATCTTAAATGTCTTAATAAACTCTGCAAAAGAAGTCGTCAGGCAGTTGGAATCTAAGGTGCCGTCATGGGGAAAGTGCAGGACCGGAGACAGGAGGACTCAGACGCAGATTTAAACTTTATTCATTCAAAAATAAAAAAGGCCTTGGAGAAAAACGAGCAAACAAACTCACCATAGACAAGACACGTAGGAAACTCAGTCAATGAACCGACAAAGGACAAGAGACACACGGTTTAAAGACACTGGGACGGTGCAGGTGATTTGGAACAATTGGGGACAGCTGCATTTCCTCTAAAGTCGTCCTCTTGCTCAGTTTGCAGACGCCGCCTGCGGCGACGTCACAGTGATGCTCGCCGGTTCAGTCGCCACGCCGTTCTATGATAAAAGGTGGGTGCTCTGCTCCTCCTCCTGCCAAATAGAACTACTATTAGCATGTCTTTACATTCTCATGAGATTGATTTTTTGGTTTATGCAGCATATGTTATTCCTGGTTTTAAAAAATTGAGTGACTGAATTTAAAATTGTGTGATTCTGGCCCAAATGTCTTAAATGTGTGTAGACATGTTTTAGTTATTAGATACTTTGATAAAAACGTCAGCAGGAAGTAAAACAGAATTAGAAAAATCTTATTGTGTTGTTGTGGTTGGAAGATTGTTTATATGTTTAATAAAGCATTTCAAATTAATAAAAAGCCAAACTGCTGAGTATCAAGTCCATGAAACATTTCATATCCCCTCCGGTATTCTTGTTGTTGTTGTTGTTGTTGTTGTCTCCCACCTTGCTGAGTAACAGCTGCTCTTTTGTCCTCGCTGTCAGTGTGTTTGCGACCATCGAGGTGCCGCGGTTCTACTCCCCCAGGGTGCGAAGCCTGAACGTCGTCCTGGTCACACAGAAGAACTCGGTGTAAGATTTCTGCCTCCTTGTCTCCTTCGTCCTTTTGGATCTTCAATACCGAATGTGTTGAGTGCGTAAAGAATCCGAGTCATTAGTCGATCCTTAAGTCACGTTTTCTGTTCCCTCTTCAGCACGAGCTGCGAGAACGAGTCTTTGAAGGACTTGCAGAGGAAGCTGGATGGAGGAATTAAGTACAACTGCACGAAAATGCCTGAGTACGTACAGCGTGTTTGTGTGAGAGGACGTCTCCATGTGTCCAGTGTGTGGACCCCATGTCACTCTCTCTCTCTCTCTCTCTCTCTCTCTCTCTCTCTCTCTCTCTCTCTCTCTCTCTCTCTCTCTCTGCAGGGATAAGATTTACGACTGGATCTCAGATCCAGAGGACTGCGTACCCTGTTAGTGAACCAAACTAAATAATTAACGATGGAGCAATGTGCCAAAAATATTTTTTTTATCTGGGCCAGTTTGATTTAATGTCAATAAATCTTAAGTTGTAAGGGGAAACAGCAGTGCTGCCGTCTCCCTCACGGTGGTGGCTGAACATTTAAAATGTCTTTTAATAACATTTTATGATGCAATCATGTAAAATTGTCTTCAGCTTGTTATGATTGTTACATAAACAAGTGTACTATTGATGGAAATGAGTAAATGTTTGTATCGATATCATTCACAAATAATCCGTAATAAATAAAGACTTATTATTGCATAGATGAAAATATGTTAATGGGGAGATTTCTTATTTACAGTTTTTTTCAATCGCTAACAAGCACTTACCCATACTTCAGAAATTTTTTCTAAACTCTTAACACAGACTCACACCTACAAGACACACTTGGCCAAATTGATAATTTTCTTCTCAAAAACACATTTTGTTAAATATATACCAACTCTTAATTTCAAAACAGAACACATCTTTCTCTGCACACACTAACTTTACCAAAACACTGGAAATCTGACTCAAAATGAAATTATTCTGTCAAAGAATAACATTTGTTTTCACTTATGCAGTCCAACGAAGTACACCAGGTTTCAAAATTCTGGCTATTGTTGACATTATAAAAATTGCATAGACTTTTATGTTTCAGGTAACATGCAATCCACCATTTACACCAAATTTATTGGTTTGGAACTGTTTGCGCACATGTACAGTAATGTTCACATTCAAACGCATTCCAGTAAAAAGCAAATCAGTTATTTTTTCTTAACTGTTTACCAAAGAAGGTACAGTAGAAGCAGTATAATAGAACAGAAAAGGTTTATTTTATTTTATTTTAACTGTTCTCCTGAGTTTGTACCCTATGGTTGAATGCACTTATTGTACGTTGCTTTGGATAAAAGCGTCCGCTAAATGACATGTGATGTAATGTAATGTAACAAAATATCCATGAAACACACGAGCATTCTGAAAAAAACAACAACAGCCAAAAGCCCAGATGAAAAGGGGGGAACTAAAAATAGCAAACAATGTATGCATCTAATCCCTGCGATCTTCAGGGTTCGGCCACATGTTTTTGTCAACATCACATCTGACATCATCTAAGGCGATGCACCTGGGATCAAACCGCTTGGCATGTCGGATCCACCCTTGGCAATCTTGAACTGTGATGTCCCTGCAGCCAGCATCCATGGCTTCAAGGAGGGACATCTGGTCATGTGGCTGATGGTCATAGACCTTCCACCTCCATGCAGAAAGGAACTCCTCTTCCTGCACCTGCACCTCTCACCGCACCTCCTTCTACATCTCTCACTGGACCTGCACCTCTTGCTCTTCCTCTCACTGCACCTCCTACTGCACCTCTCACTGCTCCTCTTCCTGCACCTGCACCTCCTTCTACATCTCTCACTGGTCCTGCACCTCTCACTGCACCTCTTACTCTTCCTCTCACTGCTCCTCTTCCTGCACCTGCACCTCCTTCTGCACCTGCACCTCCTTCTTCACCTGCACCTCTCACTGGACCTGGTCTTCTCCCTGGGCCCTTGCTCTTCCTCTTCCTCGTCCAGACATTACAGTGTTTGTCTTTTTCTGTTTCCAAAAACATCACTCCTCAAAGTCCTCCTTAAATAAGCCAGACTGGAATCAGCTGTTGTTGGCCCAATTTACCCAACATAAATCAGCTGTCAATTATTCAATAGTTTGTTCTTTATCAGCTGAGATATATTGTTTTTGAACTGATATCATTGCAGAAGCAGAGGTTTTTATACTGTATCTACGGTTTGGAATATTGTTTTTGCTATTGTGGGATGGTGTGTGTTAACATTTGTGAATACTACTAAAACAATCCATCGTTTTGTTGGGAGGTATGGCTTGTCTGTTGTGGACTTGTGCCAAATAAATAATGTAGATGTGAGCTATTATTTCACTGGTGTTGCAGTGTAGATGCTTTTATTGTGAAGGGGGAGATGGAAAGATGAAAAGGGAGCACGTGTCTATTGTTGTATTACTAAGTAGAGACGCACTATAAACGCTCGCCTACACAGATAATACGTTTTTGAGGTAGTTGTATTGCACCTGCAGTATTAGTAGTATATAGTATACAGAGGCAAACAATGTACTCCTTCACATGCAACATGCGCCAACTTCACCTGACCAATGAGGGAAAACTGGTGCTCTGCAGGGGAAGTGAGGAGACATTGTCCACGGACTTAGAAATGCCTCCTTATAAATCCTCTATTCCACAGAGGATTACCCACAATCCTTCCTGTCTTTTGGTCCGTACATGTACCACCGTGTAGCAGCAGGTGGCGCAGTTCATCCATTTTTGCAGGATTTATATCGAACCGTTTTAACTTTGTTACACATGGGTTATAGTTACTATTCTTCACAATTCGTTTTTACATTGTAGAATTGTCACATGTGTTCTCTTGTCCTCTTTTAAGAACTTGGGGCGAAATGATTCCAGTCTGGCTTATTTAAGGAAGACTTTGAGGAGTGATGCTTGTGGAAACAGAAACAGAAACAAACACTGTGATGCAGCGGGTCCCAAACTCGAGAATGCCGCGGCCCAATTTGAAATCTGAAAATCTTTCGCGGCCCACCCGAACCTTTAATCACAACTCAAAACATAATGATTAAATGACCTTAAGAACTTAACCAAAACAAAACATCCGCGAGCAAAAGTCGGTCTCCGCGAGGTATTTGCTCGCTGGCGAAACGTGAGCTTCGTTGCTCGCGGGGAGAATCTCTGCTCGCGCTGGAGGGAGTTCTCTACGCGCTCGCTGTGGTTCTGTTGTTCTGTCTGACAGGGAGGTGGAGACGGTGCGTTCAGGGTCCGATCGATGCCGCGAGGTGCGTCCGCTCCCACCCCCCCCTCTCGCCATCCACGCCTTAAATCTTCGGCTCCTTTTAGAATAACTTATTCTCACATAAGTGTCGACTGTGCTCGTCGCTATAGAAACATTTACTACCGGCTGCCCAGAATGGACCGACTGTGAAACCAGCGCCGTTCGCTCCTTTTGGAACGGAGCCTCCGCTGCAGTAAGTCATCAACAAGGACTCTCTGGTTCTGGCAACAACACGACACACGTGTGCTCGAGCAGCGGCCACAATAACGCGCACGTGGAGCACGAGGTCAAACACCTCCTGTGATCAGGAAGAGAGCGGAGGAGAGGAATCAGTCAGCCGGCCCGCTTCCTCATCAATGAGGCTTTGTGCCGGTCTCCATGGAGACGCACCGCCGGGCTCTCTCCTGCACGAGCCGACCCACACACACCAGAACCTACACACACCAGAACCAACACACACCAGAACCAACACACACCAGAACCCACACACACACCAGAACTTACACACACCAGAACCCACACACACCAGAACCAACACACACCAGAACCCACACACACACCAGAACCTACACACACCAGAACCCACACACACCAGAACCAACACACACCAGAACCAACACACACCAGAACCCACACACACACCAGAACTTACACACACCAGAACCCACACACACCAGAACCAACACACACCAGAACCCACACACACACCAGAACCCACACACACCAGAACCAACACACACCAGAACCTACAGACACCACAACCAACACACACCAGAACCAACACACAACAGAACCCACACACACCAGAACCAACACACACCAGAACCCACACGCACCAGAACCTACACACACCAGAACCAACACACAACAGAACCCACACACACCAGAACCTACACACACCAGAACCAACACACACCAGAACCAACACACAACAGAACCCACACACACCAGAACCAACACACACCAGAACCTACACACAACAGAACCAACACACACCAGAACCAACACACAACAGAACCCACACACACCAGAACCCACACACACCAGAACCTACACACACCAGAACCCACACACACCAGAACCAACACACACCAGAACCTACACACACCAGAACCCACACACACCAGAACCAACACACACCAGAACCTACACACAACAGAACCAACACACACCAGAACCTACACACACCAGAACCAACACACAACAGAACCCACACACACCAGAACCTACACACACCAGAACCCACACACACCAGAACCAACACACACCAGAACCTACACACACCAGAACCCACACACACCAGAACCAACACACACCAGAACCTACACACACCAGAACCAACACACACCAGAACCTACACACACCAGAACCAACACACACCAGAACCCACACACACCAGAACCTACACACACCAGAACCTACACACAACAGAACCTGCACACACCAGAACCTACACACAACAGAACCCACACACACCAGAACCAACACACACCAGAACCAACACACACCAGAACCTACAGACACCACAACCAACACACACCAGAACCAACACACAACAGAACCCACACACACCAGAACCAACACACACCAGAACCCACACGCACCAGAACCTACACACACCAGAACCAACACACAACAGAACCCACACACACCAGAACCTACACACACCAGAACCAACACACACCAGAACCAACACACAACAGAACCCACACACACCAGAACCTACACACAACAGAACCAACACACACCAGAACCAACACACAACAGAACCCACACACACCAGAACCCACACACACCAGAACCTACACACAACAGAACCAACACACACCAGAACCCACACACACCAGAACCCACACACACCAGAACCAACACACACCAGAACCTACACACACCAGAACCCACACACACCAGAACCAACACACACCAGAACCTACACACAACAGAACCAACACACACCAGAACCTACACACACCAGAACCAACACACAACAGAACCCACACACACCAGAACCTACACACACCAGAACCCACACACACCAGAACCAACACACACCAGAACCTACACACACCAGAACCCACACACACCAGAACCAACACACACCAGAACCTACACACACCAGAACCAACACACACCAGAACCTACACACACCAGAACCAACACACACCAGAACCCACACACACCAGAAGCTGCACACACCAGAACCTAGCGTAAAAGGGCCAACACACACCAGAACCTACACACAACAGACCCAACACACACGGTCTGGTATGTCTGGGTCTCTTTGTAATCACAGTTCCCAAAACAAAGCAACAAAACCACACAGATTTAATCCATCATTTCAAACCCGTAGACTTGTTTTCACAAAATATCTATACTGAAAAGGTGACGTTTGCTCACCTGGTGAGATTCCTTCTAAACACCAAAAATAAGCATTCACCAGAACAGATGGACGTCTTTCAGTTGATTTGCTTGCATCCACTGCTGCATGAATCATGAATGCCTTAATGCCTTAAACACTGCACAAGAAGTCGGCCTGTAGTTTGAATCTAAGGTGCATTTCCTCTAAAGTCGTCCTCATGCTCAGTTTACAGAAGCCGCCTGTGGCGACGTCACAGTGATGCTCAACGGGGATAACGCCACGCCATTCAATTCTTCAAGGTAAGGGTGCTCTGTAGTGATGGCAAAGTGAAGCTTTCTGAACCAGTGAAGCTTTCCAGCCAATTGTATCAGAAAAAGGTTCATTCATTCAATGCATCGCAAACTCTATGGTGACCTCTGCTGTTGAAAACCTGTAGTGCAAATGTTCTGAATAGCATACCAGTATATTTTGGCCCAGTCTCTGTGGGTTGAACATGATTATGAATAGTTAATAAATCATTAGTAAATCATCTAATAAATACATGGATTCCTATATGAATAAAACTATTGTTTTTCAGCTTGTGTCCTTGTTTGTGTATTTCAATTCTCTGTACATTGGGAAGAAGTGGAACAAACACGTATCTATGTCTTTCTGCACCTTTGTGCATGTATGTTTGTGATCATACTAGCAGAAGAATTAATAGAATATATATATATATATATATATAAAGAGAGAGCATGGGGGACGCTGAACTCAGCTGGTGGTCAGCACTGTGGCCTCATAGCATGAAGGTCTTAGGTTTGCATCGTCTCAGCAGTCTTTCTGCAGATTTGATCACTTTTTCTGTTAACCCATAATAAAGTCATAAAAGAACCAAACTTTATGAATGTTTTTGTGACAAAGAAGCATCTGTTCCAATCACTCTATCGGAGAAAAATATGACTTGTAGAAATAACGGGAAACCTAAGAGGGCCATGACATTATGTTCTTAAGTGTATGTAAACCTTTGAACACAACTGTATGAACAGAACTAGTGGCACAACCCGCTTTTGATCCTGAATATTATGTGCGCACCAAGTCTGGACTCAGTGATTCATTACTCTTGAGAACGCTTTTTCTTCAGGATGACTGTATCTTGGTTTGCAATTTACGTTATTTTATATTTACTTTGTAATTGACGATAGCAGAAGTTAAAATCCATTGCAAACAATTGTATTTTTTGCAATGAAATTCTGGCAAACACAGCTGCCTGCAATTTACTTTGCGCGTTGTAATAAAGAAATCTTACAGCACTGTGTTTATCTAAGGACTGTAATTACAGTGACAGTATAATAGCTGTTTGAAATTGTATCATATTTCGATGTAATTTATACAGCTTTACAATACACCTTTTCATTTGGAGAAAATTAAAAAATGTGAAATTTACAGTGGACAAAACACCATCCCATGATGTCCTACACGTTGTCACTGTCATTTCTCACTATTTTCAAATTACCATCAACCCCTTTATAATATTTTTGTTTTTATATAGTCATTTTCCCTAAAGAAATAACAGTTTTGAACTGTGAAATTTACTGCCAAAAAACATACCGTAATGTCTCATACGTTGTGGTTGTCGTTTTTACGGTGAAGTTCTGGCAACCGTTTTTTTTTACAGTGTAGTACAATGAAATGTACATAATGGAAGATAATAAAAACCTTTGTATACAGTTATTCCTTATGGCGCGATAAAGATCCCACATCTAGACCATCGCACATGTGCCTAAAAAAATCGATTATAGTGTGGGAACCGAAAGCGCTTGTGTGTGTGTGTGTGTGTGTGTGTGTGTGTGTGTGTGTGTGTGTGTGTGTGTGTGTGTGTGTGTGTGTGTGTGTGTGTGTGTGTCTGTATGCATGTGAGACACACACAGGAACACACAGTGTGAATGTCTTAGAGTGAGCTCACTGTGGCAGGAAGAAGAAGCCCAGTAATAACCTCCTCTTTCCTTTCTAGGGACACTGAGTGTTGTGTCACACGTACCGTAAACGGACAGCGGTGGGTGCTGGGAACACCCTGCACAGCTGTTACATGAAGAAAGCCGGAAGCCCCCCCCCCCCACCCTCAACCCCCCCATCGACTGTAAAAATAATGACATGGGGTGACAACTACTGCAATGTCGGTAACCACCACCACGCTTTTAGTCACCGAGCTTCTGAAACTACAAGCGCTTCTGAGACAGTGATCGGATGCCGATGATGCCGATTCCACGCAGCCTTCTACAGGCGGCCGTTAAACTAAAGCCGCCTTACATCTGAGGCACTTCCTGTGACACCAGCGAATGATAATCATTGCGAGCAGTAGCCGTAACCATGCGGGACAACAGCGCTGCATACATGATTTTTTTATTTCAATGGCTTGTGATCTACCCGCGCTGCGAACTGGTGCCCCTGGTCTAACGCATCCGCTCGCTCGCAGAGTGCGCCCCCCGGTGGGCTTTTTAGGGATAGCAGCTACCTACTTAGCAGAAATGCAATTTAGGTCCTTTCTGTAATTGTCACAGTAACAAAGTCATCCGGCGGGCCGCACTGGGACCCCCCCCCGGCGGGCCGGATTTCGGCCCGCAGGCCTTAAGTTTGACACATGTGTGTTAGACGAAAAGCGTTTAAAACCTAAAATAATTCACAGTTGTGTCCGTCTCCCAGAGCCGGTGGTAACTTTGCTTGTGTCTCGAGTGCGTAGAGCCTTATTCTCCCTATTTACGGTGAACTTCACGGGTTAGGCTGCCTTACAGTCTTATGGCTGCATAAAATCAATCAACAGCAAATGAAGCTGCGGCCAAAGAAATGTTACCGCACTTTAAAGTTACATTAACGCACTGATTTGAAATTTAATTTCTCACCATGTCGGCACATGTTCTCTGACATATTGCAGAAAAAACAGATGTTCTCTTGGTGAAGTGGGATATCCCACACTACTCTGCAGAAACCTCCCTGACCTCTGCTAAAACCTAAAAGAACAAGTGGAACCTCCAACTTCACCTCGACAAATGTGCCAAGTCATCATTGGCGGTAAAAGTGGCACATGGGTTTTTTTCAGCCGGTTTTCATTCGGGCATCAGCTGTCTTTTGCTTTAACCAGTGGGTGGGTTACTTCAATAAGCAAAGCAGGCTCCAGAAACACGCGGAGATCACAGAGGAGTATCGATGACTGCAGGAGGAGCAGCGGCGGGGTTTCCCTTCTCCTCCTTCCCTGAAACGACCCGCCCCGACCGGCCGAACGACGTGTGATTTTCCCACAGCCTCAAACACGTTAGTTTCCTTTTTGTGTGTGTGTGTGTGTGTGTGTGTGTGTGTGTGTGTGTGTGTGTGTGTGTGTGTGTGTGTGTGTGTGAGAGAGAGACAGTTTCACTTTGACATCCGCGCCTTTGAAACGTTTTCCGGCTTTTACGTGTGAGCAGTTCAACGACGCAGGAAGAAAACGTCACCCCGCGGGGGGCCGCTGTAAAGAGAATGGCGAATCGAATCAAAATATTTGGATTCTCGTGAATAAAAAGTGTACTAATTTGGTCTGTTTTTTAGTGCCTAAAATGCCTTTTTAAAAGCACTTAACAAATATATTATTATAAGTATTAATATAATTAGTATTTAGTCATAGTGTTTTAAAATATAATAATAAAATATTTTAAAAATAATTTCTTGACAATCACATATTCTTTCAAAATAAAAGGGTCCTACTAATACAGCTGCAGGAGCAAATAAAATCGTCGTTATTTCACTCATTGATTCATTAAAAATAAATGGCTACTAACGTTTAATGGACCCAAAAAAACCACAGTGGCTCATTTATTGCAGCGCAGTCAGCTATTTCTCTTAGTCACCGATCCGTCCTGACATGACCAATTACCGGTTGTACTTTCCTTTCCTTCGATACAACCGGACGCTTCCGGTTCATCCACGTCACCGAGCCGCGCTATAACTTCACGTGCGGAACACGTTGCTTCTTCACACCACAGCTGTTGATGCGTCTGAGCATGTCGGGGAGAAGTAGCAACATGGTGAGATGTTTGCTCTCTTTTCATTGTTAAGTCTGTTTAGTTTACTTTTGCACCGTTTAGAGAAAATCCTCCTCAAGGTGGGGCTCGGCTGTACGTTATGTTTAATTTTAGGACGGTTTATCGCGTGAGATGATGCGGTGTGAAAAGACTTTTCACAGGTGTTGAGATGCTTCAGTCTGTGTGGGTTTGGAGTCAGTTGTCACGATGTGTTATTTTTGCCACGTGCACACGTGGTCCACGCTTTATTTTCATGTATCTAATTTGTTAATCTATTCGCGTATTGTTATTGAAATAATTTCGATATTTATTTATTACTATGATAAGTCCATAAAATAAATATTTTTTGTCTTTTGGTATACTGTGTTGCTATTTCATATTTCATATTTATATCATATATTTAACATAATTATTTTCTCTTGATCTTTTCTTTTGTTAATAGCAAGTTAACTGTATCTGTAAGTTAAGTGTATCTTTTAAAACAACCAAAGTCAAGAAAAGCAAAGTGCTATAATACAATGCCATTTCTAACATAGAATAAACATTATATGGAAAATGATGAGAAATATCTTCAAGGTGTAACGTATGTCTCCGTCTGTGTTTTCACAGTCACAAAATGAAAACCCGGCGGACGGACCCCCTGTGGAGAGATCACGGACCACGTACCAGAGACTGTATCCGTCCCTGCCCGACACAGACAGGTGAGATCTCACACCGGATTTTAATGAGGTTTGCAGGCGTACATTAATAAATGTTTTCATGCACTGTGATGAAATAAATGGACACAGTTTTTAATTTCATAATGTCATCAAATGTTTTCAGGTTCAACGTTTGTGAGGCGGCAGAAAAGCTTCACACGGCTGCAGTTAATCCCCCCGGCAGAACCCCTCAGGTAATATCACCAGCCGCTTCGTAGTGAGATACGTCCGAGGGGATTATATTCACCAGCCGATTCTCTCACCACAAAGTAAAAACAACGTGTTCTTTTGGGGCTTAGTGACTGGAAACGATTCGAAGCAAAACTTCCAAAAATATGCAAAAGGAAGTTCGTGGATACCAGCGATGTTGCACAATCGTTGGTGCAGTCATAGATGGAATTACTGTGTGCCACATTTTAATAGTTCCTCTTTTTTTCTTTGTACTCAGTCACAGGCGTCAGCGGGAGGCATGAAAGCACAGATGCTTCTTTTGGAGGAGCAGAAGCAGGAGGTGAGTACGTTCATGTTCACCCCAACAAACACACGTGTACTTTTCTTTGTGCGGTGAATAAATCCTGTTTGTTCCCTTTTCCTCAGCTTCTGTCTATTAACACAAAATGGGCAAAAGAGTACCGCACCATGGCGCGGTACTACAAAGCGAGGGTAAATTCCCACAACCTGCTTTTATTGAGCACTTTTTGAATTTTCGAGTCAGCTTTCTGATGACATTGTGTCTTTTCCGTGCTTTCATGCCTTTTATGTCTTTTTCTCTGCCGATCGCTCAGATCCAGCATTTAAATGAACTACTGCAACGTGGCCACTCTGGAGAGGAGATGTGCGAAGAGGGAGGAAATAACCATAAAGAGAATGTAAATGCAGCCTCTATTTTTTGATTTGAGCATTTTAATGAACTCAAATCTGTGAGGAAAAAAAAAATATGTGTGTAATATCTTGATCTCTTCCCACAGACTGAAGACAAGTTACTGAAGGAGGCAGAGGGGCTGCGAGCACAAAACAGCACTTTGACACAAAAAGGGCAGCGTCAGCAGGACGAGATCAGACGACTGAACAAGGTGAGGCCTGACGCGATTCCTATTCGAGCAAAGGGGGTTTGAGTGTGATGGTGGTATCACAGCTGCTTTGACATGTTTCCTGCAGGCTCTAGAAGAAGCACTTAAGACTACTCAACCTCTCAGTGTGAGCAGTGAAACGCTACAAGATGTGTGGAAACATCAGGTGAGCTTGGTTCATATTTCCAGCTTCTGTATTATTTTATTATTTCTCGCCAATAGTTTGTTGAGAAGATCTCAAATGTGGAAGTGAAGCTGCAGGTAAAGTTTAGTTTAGCATAAAGCCTAGGAGGAAGGGGAAATAACTAGCCAGGTTATGACCAGGACCTCTAAAACGCACCCATTCATGTGTTATACGCTGAGTTTTAAGAAAAAGTCCAAATATGTCTTGTTGAAAAATATTATGGAGGAAAAACAAGTAAACAATATTACTGAAAAAAAGGTATGACGAAAAAAGTCAACTGTGTGGTAGAAAAATTTAATAAAAAATAAATATTAGGTTTAACATTTTTCTTATTTGCTTATTATCTTATTTTCTTATATCAAATTTTTAGGTGAAACATTAAAACAGGTCAAATTATATTAAAAATATTTATAATCTATACTCATTTTTGAATCCTTGTTTTATGTCTCCCTGCTGTTTAGGCAGACGTCTACAAAGAAGACTTTTTGAAGGAGCGCAGCGACAGGGAGAAGCTTATGGAGAAGCATCTGAAACAAGAGAAACAGTTTAGAAAAGTTCACAGTGAACTATGTGCCCTCAAATCTCAGGTACAACAATGCTGCTTTTCTGCCGTCTTCACCACAGAAAATATCAAACAAAGGCACGAAGACTTCAACGAAGCGCCTCTCTTGTTTTCACAGCTGAGGTCACCGCAGCCGGTACTCGCCGCCTGTCCACACCGTGAGGTCCGGCTGCAAGGAGGCCTCCCGCTCCACAGCAAACCCTGAGGGTCCACGACGTCCTCGCTCCTTCGCTCCAGGACGTGAGCTCCGTTCCGTTTCAGTCATGGGACCGTTTAGCTTCAGGAGGCCGATCGAGCGGCAGCACGACGCGAAAAACTCACTTAAGCACCCTGTGAAACAGAAATGTGTCCCTCCCAGTGTAAACGCTTCCCGGGAGGAGAAAAGCAGCACTGAGGGGGGGGGGGGGGAACACTCTACCCATCGCGTGCAAAGTTCTGTTACGTCAGCCGTGAGGGACACATCATCTATTGCACTGCAAACACTATTGACTTCATCCAAAGTGCAACATGGATGAGGGAGCTCCTTGCCACCACACAGTGCAGGAAGAGGACCCGACAGACAACAGTCGCAGTGCATCATGGGAGGAGGCTGACGTCGGATCACCCGCATCCATCTGGCGTATGAAGCAGCTCTGTGGAACGCACTTTAAGAAGATGGATAACGAGCGCCACGTGGCCAAGTCATCCAGCATTACCTCGTTAACACCCAAGGCCTTTCAGAGGAGAGATAGAGGTCGTGGGAAGCGACCCCAAATTATATTTGATAATTTATTTTAAAGTACATTTTAAAATGTTTGTTTCCTCAGTGTTTTTGTTCATCATAAACAAAATAAAGCGTTGAATGTCTCCATCGTCTTGTTGTTCTCTCCTAGCGATACTTGCATTGTGACCTTTAAAAGTAAACTTCTAAAGCTAAAGGAAATTAGGTTAAAACAATGAAAAGTATGAGAAGGAATGCACCTGAATGGCCGCTGGGAGGCAGCAGACACAAATGGTGAAACCGACGGCTCCAGAATGCATCAGATCGTCTCTGGATTCCAAAGATTTGCAATATTCTGTAAAGATTTCAGATCAAGTAAAAACATTTCAGATATCAACATTTCCTCCCTTAAAACGAGGTACTGCACAACCTCGAGGCCTTCGAATCGGATCAAAAAGGAGCATTTCAAGATTCTCAAGAATTCTCCCTTATCTGTCAACCCCAAATAAAATGACATCCACTTGAATTAAATCAAACTGTTGCACAGTCGGTGCTATGAATCAAATCCATACTCATAATAAATCTGACTAAACAATTCTCTCAAGACTTCAGGCCCCTTTGAGACAACCTGCAATGAGACTTACCACAAATCCAATTAACACCGGATACTAGACACACTTGTGGTGCAAATGATCACATGCAACACTTAATCCCCACTCTGTTGCAGTAATACGCAGTACAAATGTGTGTAAATGGTTTGTTTTACACTGCAACACCAGTGTAGCGGCAAGAACATTAAGGACACTGCTTGTGTGAATTATTGTGAGAAATTCGATAGTGGTAAATAAATAGCTAATTAATTAGGAATAACATTGTTATGCATAATGATATGTATTTAATCTATGAAAGGCTTCAAACCTCTATGTGCACAGACCCTAAATAAATGCTTTAAACCACATCCTGGTCAGCGGCTGGAGGTTTAACCATCGTCACGCTGTATCCTACTGACACCTGGAGACACGGTGTGCAGGGTTTCAGCGTTAACACGCTGCTTCTTGCAGTTCAGGCCTTAAATCATCCAAACACGGTGTTACTGGGGAGTCTCTAGTTACTTTAATGACTCAAATGTGCAGGATTAAATCAGTTAAGACTGCAACTCAGGACCTGAGTAAAACGCTCACAGTCGAGGAGGCGGCTTTTGAAGAAGTTTATTGGCACAGTTATAGCAGCAACGTGTTCTTTGTTCATTTGTCTCAACAACCGTTTGTTTATATTTGGCTTTAAAATAAAAAGTCTCCGGCTAATAGTTTCAATTTACAGCAAATGAAAAAACGATGACGCTCATTTGAAGTGATTGTCGGCACAAATGCATGAAGTGCACATGCGACGTCAACAAAGCGAAACCAAGAATGAGCTCTGTTTCGTAGCTACATTCTTAGTGGTTTTAGTCTGAAGATACTCGCCGTTTATAAATAGATGCAGTATAATTATGGTTATGTTTCAGGGCTGTAAGGTGTTGACATAAAATATATAACAACGCCGCTACGTGGTGACACAACCGTACCCGGCGCTCCGTGTCGTGGCACGTTGCTACGTTGTAAAGTGTGAAGCCGTTGTACACTGAAATACTGTACTTCTCTGCCATTATACAGATAAATACGTTAAATACAGTCTACGGAAGTGTCCCCGGTGCACCCACAGCCACCGGGCGCACTCAAGGCGCGGCATCGGCTTCCCACCAGCTCCGACGACATCGCCCGCCGGACTCTTCCGACTCCATAGCGGGAATATCAGAACATCCACTTGTCAGAGGACCCCGGGCCCGAGGGCTCCCACCGGCCCTCAGTAGAAAGCCGGGTTCGTGTGCTCGATGACGCAGCGCCGGCAGTGGCGTCTCACGAACCGCAGGGCCTCCGGCGACACCTCGCAGTCCTGCACGTTGAGGAGCTGCAGCTCGCAGCAGTTGGCCGCCAGGGCCTTGAGGCCTCGGCCCGTCACGCTCTCGCAGGCCCTGAGGCTCACCCGCCTCAGGCCTTGGCAGTACATGGCCAGCTGCTCCAGGCCGCCGTCCGACACCAGCGGGCACTTGCCCACGTCCAGGGACTTGAGCCGCGGGCAGCTCCTGGCCAGGTGGCTCAGGCCGTGGTCCGTGAGCCCCTCGCAGCCCCTGGCGTTCAGGTAGCGCAGCCTCGGGCAGTAGCGGGCCACGTAGCGGACGCCCACGTCGGTGATGCGCGTGCAGTGGGCCACGCTCAGGTAGCGCAGGCAGCCCTCCAGGCGGGCGACTTCCCGCAGGCCGAAGTCCCCCACCAGGCGGCAGTCGCTGAGGCTGAGCTCCCGTATCGAGGGGCAGTGGACGGACAGGTGGCGCAGGGCCTCGTCCGTCAGCCGGGTGCAGCGGCGCAAGTACAGATGCGTCAGGCGGGGGCAGTGCGAGGCGATAGTTCGCAGGCCCTCGTCCTCGAGGGAAAAACAATCGGTCATGTCCAGGTAGTGGATGGAGATCTGCTGGCCGTGAAGTGGAGAGAGCTGCAGCGAGGCCTCCTGGGTGAGGCTGATGCACGTGACCTTGGAGCAGCCTGGAGGAGGAAGAGGAGGTTGTCAAAAGAGTCGTTTTTGTTTAAAAGGGACAAGATCGTAGTGTCTTAAAACAACATTCAGGCGTCTCACACCACGAGGAGGCAAATTTATTGTTCAAGTCGTATTCTGAGTCGCCACCCGAGGGCGCCAGTAAAACCTGCTGTGTCTGCAGCAACAAGAAGCACCAACTGTTTGAGTCCGAACAAGTCCAAGAAAACCTAAAGGGTGGTGAAGGAGAATCAAAGGCTACGGTTTTCACCATTTGAAATAATACACTACATTTCCTTTATTCTGTGCCATTTTAAATAAAAGCCACAAGTAGGCTACTTTTACACCAAAGGGCTAACTTCCTGGTGCTAATGGCGCAGACGTTGCTCTGCCACCAGATTCACGAAGTTGGAAGAAATGTTATTTGTGTCACTTAATGAAGGCAGCAGACAGCTCTCCTTTACTCACGTCGAGGTGAGTTCTGCTTTCCGCTAAAGGAAGCCTTTCTTCTCACACGCGGGAGCTTTAGGTCGGCTTAAAGTCTGCTCCTCTAATGGTTTCACCAGCTCCACTCGAAACAAATGAGAGGGACTCAGGAGGGGAATTCATTTTGTATGGATGTCGGGGAGAGAGAGACCATTACCGGGCCATTACTGCGAGGTTACAGAAGTACATTTCTCTTTCTCTCTTACCTGAGAGGTTCAGGTGCTCCAGGCTCGGGCAGCGGGACACCACCTCAAACACGGCCTCGTTGGAGACGTTGTAACAGCCGGCGACCTCCAGGCGGCGCAGCTCCGGGCAGCAGTGAGCCACCACGTGCAGCCCCCGGTCGGTGAGCCTTTTGCAGCCGTTCACCACCACCGTCTCCAGGGTCAGACACACGTTGGGGGTGTCCTGGCACAGCCGGTGGGTCAGGACCCTGATGGCCCGGTCGGCGTGGAGCAGCTCTCCGGTCAGCCGGACGGTGCCCCACAGCCGGGGGTCCCACGCCAGGTTGTACCAGCGGCGGCACACGCGCGCGCAGCGGCACAGCTGATTGGTGGGCAGGTGGGAGAAGATCTGTAGCAGGGCGTGGTCGGGCAGGAGGTCCACGGGGGCGTGGTGGTGGCTTTTGGAATGGCGCGAGCGGGTGTGGGTGCCGGGCTGGGAGTGGACCACGGCGACGGTCTCGGCGCGGGCCGAGGAGGAGGAGGAGTTGGTGTCATGGCCGTTACTGGAGAGGGAGGAGGACTTGGACGGCAGGATGAGGCCGGGGCTCGGGGTGCTCAGGGTCCGGGTGCTGGAGTCTAAACCTAAACCTAAGAGAGGGGCAGAGAAAAGCTTGTTTGGGATTTGAACTTAAAACAGTTAAAAAGCTAAAAAAAAAAAGGGATTGAAAAGTGCATCACAATGGTGCCACACATCCACACCAGCTATTATCGTCAACAAGGAGGCGTTTCCATAGATCCCCACGCGGTGTTTTGGGGTGTTTGGGAAAAGATGCGTCGGAGGCGCCTCTCCCATCAGATGAACTCCTCGAAGCGCCCAGCTGAGGAGCTTCGGTGCTGGGGCCGACATTGTACGGTTATCCCTTTCGTAAACACGGAGGCCCCCCCCCCCCTCCCCCGACAGATGTGCGCTCTGAAGACGCAGCTGCGGTGATCGGGGGGCTGGATCCCATCCCGGTGGCGTGAGCCCTCGGCTTCGTAAGCCGGGGCGTCGGGATCGCGCACCCGGGGTCGACGGCTGTCACGCTGAGTGCTCCTCTCCGATGATATCTGCGTCTCCTCGTCGCCCCTCCAACTGGTCTTGGGCTCGGTTGAATTGATGGTCATCGCTAAAAGCATTTCAAGTAATGGTGCGTATGATGTCACTTGCTGTCCACTACAAGTCTGCAGGCCTTATGGGCAAAAAAACAGAAGACATATATGTGAAAGTCGCGTGTAACGATAAAAGAGGATCTCAACTTTTTAAGTTTTGAGGTAAAGGCTTTGACTTTTACAGGGGGGGAAATGTGTCGTATCATTCTAGGAACCAGGAACTAGGAACTCAATAAGTTTAGACACATTTCTTTAGTAAGTCACTTACGTCACAAAAGTCATGCAAAATAAGTCACGTGGGACGTGGACAGTGGTCTCCTGTGTTCAACCCACCTCTGCCGACTATACCTCGACCAGGTACCTGCTTATAACACTTTGGCTTGTGTTTGTGTAGTTTGGCTTTCTTGAGGGAATTGTACTTCTTGTTCTGGGTCTGTACCCTCTTGGACCGACAGTCAGCCGGATCGGCATCGTCATGACGAATGGGCCGCATCCCGCCCGTCAGACAGGACAGCTGGGCAGTGACACCGTCCTGCAGATCTGTATTCCAGACCTGGGGAATCCGCCTCCCGCCTGGCCTCTGATGACATCCACAGGCCGGCCCTCCCGGGAACATGTCCACCGGTTCACGGCTACTTTGCAAACTCCTCTCTCGTGGGCCCTAAAAGGTCTCGTTGGGCTGCAGGTTCGGGGAAGAACTGCGAGTGCCGCGAGTCCAATACGCATCGCGTGATAAGACCTGCACTCGGTGTAGGCCTAATACATCACATTCTTGGGTGGTCTGCAAATGATTAGCTCAACTTTTAATGTCTGGGATTGTTTTGTTTACCCTGGCCTGTGTATTTCTATCTTAATACAAAGGATTTAACGGTTTGAGGCCCTTACAAACACTTCATCTATTTCGAATTTCACACACCTGTCCAAATATATCATGGCAGTGGTTGGTGCAAAGGCTTTTTAATGCTTATTCAAGCACACTGCGAGGATTGCAAGATTCCCGAGTTAATACCTAGTTATCAACGAATTATCCAACATGGGCTGGAAACCGCACACTGTGCATCACAGAGCTGTATGAAATCAGTGTATTTTGGCCAAAGGATCGCCTGCTGTGACATTTTCCCATTAAATAATAGGAATATTAATGCTATAAGCTCATATATTTACCGTTTGAAAGTTGAATTAAAGTGTCAACCCTCAGGCAAAGATCAACCAAAGTCTCCAACATGCACGATGAGATCGGATTGCACCGCTTGAGTCTCGCTGAATGCGTGTCTTTGTCGTCCAAACCCGAGCTAACGCGATGGATTCCGCACGCGGGGGAAGAACTCGTCTGCCACTGGCCGAGGACAGACGTCCAAAATTGCGTAGTCACATGTGTCACTGATCAGAAGAGAGCTCCGAGCGGAGAAACACAGCGCTACTAATTAGACTGCATCCTCTCCTCCACCTCCCTCGAGTCACACGTCCACACAGCTGGAGGGAAAGTTAATTGAAGACAGCTTTGCAGATTAGCTCGGTTACGCTTGATTTTAGAGAGAGAGCGCTTGGGTCTCTTTGAGAACACTGTATTATTTTTTCCGAGTGGGAAAAGGCATCTTTTTATCCAATCACCAACGACTACTCGATACTGTAAATCATCTTGAGATTGAAATATTTTCTCTTCTTTCACACTTTGTCATTTCTGAGGAAGTGGTCAACTTTTTTCTGAAGTTGAAGAACCTCAAGTCGATTTTCAGCATGTGACATCTGTTGCAATCAACAGATGTTTTTTGAAGGCCTAAATATATTATAAGCATTTGATCAGGTGCCGAAAGTCTTGCCACAGCCTGACAAAAATCAAACCCTGCATCCTTTTAAATGAGAAGTGCCGTGGACAGCAGATCCATCTCCATGACAACCAAGTCAACTCACTTAATGAAGACCATCTGAAAATTCAAAGCTCCAGAAACAGTTGCCTCGGGTGATATTTGCTCTCAGCGCCAAAGTAGCCATGAAAGAAGGAACTTTGGAATCTGTGGAAGTTAACCAGTGGGGTGTTGTTTTATATGCGTGTATCACTGCAGACCTATCATTAACGGAACAGATACCGTGCAGCTGTTAAAATGCTCTTCAAGGGGACTGTAAGTGCAGATGGTGGGAGACTCAATTCAGTTTAGGAAATCAGAGGAGAAGCAGTGAAACATCTGGTCTTCACCCTCTACAAAGCACAACGGAACAGTGGTGAAATGAAAGAGAAAGTCATGCATTCTGAATGTGCGCGTAGCCACAGAGAGGCATACTTGGCTGAAATCACTGCCACTAATATCCAAATTTAAGCTGATCCGCAGCAGGATCCCATTAACATCAACTTACTTCTGAGACACATCTGGATCGGGCTTTGATGCCAGAAGTTTAATGTAAATCAATGGAAGTGATCACTGAAAGGACAACGTGCTCGCGTGAGGAGGAGGATGATGATGCAGCTGCGCGTTCGAAGTGATGTCGCTTTAATAGCAAGAATTTCTTCTTTTTTTTTTTTAAGTAACACACAAAAACAGATTCAAGGGCCTCTGTAAGAAAACATCGGCGAGAGGGAAAGAGAGAGGGAAGATAAATTGGCAGAAGAGTCTGCAGACTTTGCAGAGACGGAGACAAGTGCAGAGTGGCAATCCGGTCAATGCAGAGTTTGACGCAGTCTGGTCATAAACCGACGCCGCGGGGTTCCTTTTTCAGCATCTCGCGCTGCTGTCGGCGCTCGTGCGTGAGGCCCCCGCCGGCAGCTCGCTGTGTTATTACCTCTGCATCTGGCAGGACAGACCGATCCATTACCGCAATGCCATTAGCCCGGTGACATGTTGCTGCTCTGCCTCTCCCCCCTCCGCCCCCCCCCCCACCCTCCTCCCCGAGAGCGTGACCGGCCGCGTGGTGCACGTTAGAACCCAAAGACGCTCGTTTTTCGACTCGACAGTCATGAAAATCAAATTCTGAATGAAAAAGTGCCCGCTAATAAAAAAAGGCGACCAGCAGAATGATTTTGCACTAAACCGCTACGTGCTGCGACTTTTCTTTTTGGGTTTTTTTTTAAAGGGGAAACATCCCACTGAAAGGGAGAACTCCGTGGGATAAGAAACATCTGGGTCTGTCTTGGGTTTTATTGAATACATGGAAGTTGATCTTACCGTGCCGTGTGGCGGGCCGGGCTATCAGCAAAGCCTTCACTACAGGAAGGTGTTACGTCACCGGGCAACCTGAGAGACAATAGGGCCTTCTGGTTCCTTCACAATGTGCACACTTGGACAGGAAACAGACTCCCTCAGCTTCACACAACCCCCATAACTCCACCACCACTTTGCACCGCGGCTACTCTCACACTCACTCAGCCTCTGGATTCAGTTGTTGTTGTTTTTTTTTTAAAGCTCGGGTGCACGTGAGCCAAGAACTATTACGCTCTTTGCCCCGCAACGCGACTAATTTCCCCAGAGGGAGTTTTCAGCCCTTTAAAGCCCTCCTGTCAGTTCAAAAGACGCAAACGTCTCCACGTGCAGAGGAGGACAGCCATGTCTTAAAGCCAAATTCAAAAGGCGCGATGCACTCGATGTCAAAAACCAGCATCTGCGTGCGTCTGTCCACCGCAGCACACGTTTTCCAGAATAAAGATGGCGGTTCAGACTCTGAAGCCAAACCTTTGGCAAATCATTGAAATCCACTCAAAGATGCCTTTTTTTTTGTTGCTTTTCTGTGCAGTTCATGTGTGTGTGTGTGTGAGCGTTATAGAGCGCCGAGTGACACTCGTGTTGAATGACTCAGGAGGGTAACGTTGGCTACGCGCAGCAAACAGCGAGAAGAACCGCTCGTCAGACAGGAATGGAAAAGCCAGCGCTGGCCTGAGCGGCTGGCTTGGTGGTGATGAGGAGCAAATGTAATGATCTCATGTGGTTGAGGCGACAGAACAAGGGAAGAGCTGGGTAGTTCTGGTCAAACTCTCCATGAAAAAACGGTCCAATTTAACTCCCAAGCGGTTCCTTTAGATGAGTGAAAAACTAAAACTGCTTCATAAAACCAGCTCAAGGGTAAGCATGCTGGTCATTGTGAATATATACATTAAATCGTAACCCTTAAAATTAAAGCAGTAAGCTTAAGTAAGTTTTAAAAAGCCTGAAAGATACAACTTTGCCTGGAGAGTAGACTCTTTCCCCTTTAACCAAATATAATGTTAATTCAGGCCGTTTACCTCTGATGGAAGTGTGCTTTTGATCTGAGTTCACGAGCCGACACTTATGGTTCTGGTCCCTGAGAACCAGCGTGTTCTTCATTTAAAAGTCCAATTTCTGTGCTTCACGTGAACGATTCTGGTGTTATTTACACCCACAAAACGGCGTTTCGGTCCGACCACGACCCCCTTCAACTTTTCCGCTCATTTTCTGTAGCCTTGCAGCTTCAGCCACTTTGCTGCTTACGTAATGAAACAAACCACAGAGTGAGAAGAGGGGGGGGGGGGGGGGGGCGGATCCAATGTGTCGGTTCCGCTGGGCCGCAACCGGGTTCACCAGCCGCCACATGAAAAGCCCCAAGACCCCGGTGAAAAAAAAAAAAAACACCCCCCCCGTGAGCCCAAACCTGAAAAAAAAGGACTGAAAAAAAAAAAAACTGACCGCGTGAAAACAACCAGGCCCGGCGTCTCCCCTCCCCGGACCGAGAAGGGACGAGCGGTAACCGAGAGGAGTTATGTGATCTGCCCCTCCTTCCCCTCCTCCATCCCCTCCTCCGTCCCCTCCTCCATCCCCTCCGCCGCGGTGCAGAAAAGGAACTTGTGCTCCGCCAATACAGCCGGCGCTGAATGAGTACGAGCTTCTGGAGGCTACGAATTCCCGAGCAGAGAAAGGAGAACTATCTCCAACCCTACTTCCTCTAATCCTCCGTAAAACAGTCAACCACCTGCCAAACATTTCCCTCTGAAGAAACAGATCCTCCTTCATACGCAGACAAACCACCTTCCCGACGCGACTGAAGGTCCAACGCAGACGAGCGGCACCATCGGCGCTGCAGACACATTCGTCACGCGAGCTCCAGGTTGGCCCAGCGAGAGGTCGGCCTGCCAAGTCTTCCGCAGTAATGAAAGATTAAAAAGTAGTGACAGCTTAAATCTCCCCTTCCGCCTTCGAGAACGTCCCCGGCGGGGGGGCCGCGACACGCGCGAACGCCTGGCCGGCCCGGCCTCTTCCATTCTTGGCCCGGCCAGAATCAACAGTGAAAGGCGATACGTGGGGCTTGAGTAAACACCAGCAGATGGGTCGCCAGTGAGCGAGGGCGGCCCGCGGATGAAGTGCGAGGGATCTGCGACGCCTTCGGGAGGGCAGAAATATGAACTTGTCGGACGTGCGGTTCAGACGGCACGGCTGAACCTCCACCATGGATATGTGTGTAGTGTGTGAGGCTGTAACGGTTATGAGAGAGTTTGTGGTTGCATCATCACCGAGCCAAATAAAAAGGCTTTTATTAGTATAAATAATCTAAAACACCTGAGCGAGTGTTGTGAGAATTGCATTTGCAAAATTCCAGTGAGGAACCCAAAAGATCTACTTTTTAAAAAGGTTTTTCATGAACTGCCTGCAACGTCTCTCTGTAGGAAACAGAATCTAAAGGTTATTGCACATAAATCCTCTGTTTTCTGCTGTGGAAGGACACAGTCAGCTTTTCCCGTCACTCTTATCACTGTTGCTGTGGTCCTTGGCCGACGCAGAGGAAGTCGGCATGTTCATTGTTCCCACCGCCCCCCCCCCCCCCCTCACGTCCGTTCCTCAGCTACCTTCCCGGGGCCGTTACAAACGGCCCAAAGGAGCTGACCCCACCCTGAAACAAAAGGCCGCTTTGACATCTGCCAGTCCCGCGTTGCCTCCCAATCCCGGCGCGGCGACCAATTGGCTGATACCCGGCGAAGAAGACACCCAGGCCGAAAACCTCTCTGGGCACCAACCCCCCCCCCCCGGAGAGGCCCAGACGGGGTCCCAAGCGCGACCCTCCTCACCCCCGGTGGGAGATACTGAGTTTCATCCCACAGGAAGGATTTACTGTGCCTTTCAGTCTGCGGCCAATAAGCAGCTGGGTCAGGCCGCCACAAGCCGTCTGAATAACAAATGAAAAACAGACACTTTGCAGAACGTCTGCCAGATGATCGGTTGGTTTTCAGGAGCAGAACCAGTGTAACTTCCAAAATGTTGATTTTTGGGGGGGGGAACACATGTTACAGAAAATGGCCTCCTCCATCTTCATGCCGATATCCGGGCTGGACAATGATTCAATAGTTCACTGAGTTTAATTCCAGGGCTTGGAGATGATTATCGCATCTCTCGGTCTCTTCTGGTGACAGAAATCTTTATTTGTGGAGGAGTTAAGCATTTCTCGTCTACAGCGGCTTTGGTTTGTATCCAACACACACGGCCTTAAAGGGAAGATTATGTGTCTCTCAACAGAGGAAATTACTTTTACAAAAAAAAGAAGTTGAATCCATGAACATTCTCAACATTGAATAATAGCTGTGGTTTACTTTGTCTGGTGTGACCTGCAGCGTTTGGGGGATGACGCTGGTTAACTTGGATTGTGCCGTGTTGACACACTGTTTGGTGATTCTTCTCTACTTGTGACACTGTCACATAAAGCTTTTCATAATAACTATAAATGTAACCTTTAACAACCACGGTGGCTTTGAGCAAAAGTTATATCTTTAAGTGAAATTGCATGGTTCAGTTGTCCAAAAATAATATTTCAACTGCAGTTAAACATCCATTTGTTTATTATCAATTGGGCTCCATTCGACTTTAGAAAAACCTGGAGCAAATATATTTAAATATATATATTTCATTTATTAAAAAGACTACCTTAACTTAAAGGAATAATCCTGCCAATGCCGCTTGATCTCAACTATACAGAACACAACTCTTTTGTCCCTTTTTCTGACTACCGAAAATGTAGTGTTACGCATCAGCCGTGCGTGAACGAGCTCCGCTACCTTTCTTCTGCCGCTGACATTAACCAACGGACTAATTGACCGGCAGTGACGGGCGTGCGCGCACGGTGTGAGGCCTCGTCCGAAAGACCCAGCGTGTGGTGGAAACGGCCCAGACTGCTTCCTGATCAGTGCAGCGGAGCGCAGGACCGGGCGGGCGAGGCGGAACCCGGACCGTGCAATCCGCCACGGTGAGTGTGTGAACGTGGTGTGTGCATGTGTGTGTGTGTGTGTGTTTTTAAGTAGGGGGGATTTGACTGTGGCCGCGGTGGTTCCAGGACATGTAATTACTCCCACTTAGCATGGAGGGAAAAAAAAAAAACACACACACAGGCGGGAAATATGATCGGAAAGCCACTAGTCATGTTCTTCACTCTATATATATATATATATATATATGTATATATTTCTATCTGTGTGCAGGGACACACATTTAAAACAATTGCCGATTTCCCCCCCAAAATACTGGAGTTGGGCTTCTCGACGCAGAGATCCAAGTGAGTCAGCACTTCCAGCGAAATCCGATGAGTCACCCGCCTCGGGGCTAATGCGCAGGCGCAGGAGGGCGACCTCTTGTTCCGCGAGGTTAATCGGTGAATTAACCTCGCTGGAAACCGAGCCGATGAAAACGCGAGGGAGATCGTCGGCCGAGCGACGCTTGGGAACGAGTGCTGTAGCTGCCGTTTGTTTTCTTGTGGGCAGCTTCGACGCCACGAGAAGACCGCGTGCGTCCTGCCGGGGCAGATTTGAGATTGCCGATGGCGACGCACGAGAGGCTGGTGGCGAGCGAGCGCGCGGTAGAACACACACTTTGAGCTTCCCCCTCCTCAAAGTCAATGACGACTCGTCGGGTTCGGGGTCTCTTTTCCTGCTCGCTTGAAGTTCAACACACTCCCAAAAGCCGCGACCCCTGACGAGACGGGTGTTTTCCTCGGGACCGGGTGGAGACCAAAAAGGGGATAAAAAAAGGGGTTTTAGCAACGCATGTTTCTCTGTGTCGGCTGGATGTCAAAATAAGTTTGCGTACGTCTTTGAATCTGTCGGCTAATGTGTTCGTGTTTGTGTTTGCAGCTTTTCAGAAGAGACGGGAATTCAAATAACTCCGGTTTAGTGTAATGAAATCTTGACAGTTTGTCTGTGCGAGGAGGGGAGAGACGGCCGCAGGGTAACAAAGGGTGAAGCTCCTCTCCCATGTTTTACTCCACCACACCTTCCCCAGCACCGCCCCCTCCCTGGCAACGCTTTGAGCCCGATACGGCCACAGTTTAGATAAGCATTCTTCCACAGTGAGGAGTCAGGCGTGTTTTCTTTCTCTCTTTTTTTGTTCCTGCTCAAACGAAGCCTGAGAAAGGCCTTTGGTTTCTGATGGGAGCTGTGAGTTTGTTTTCCGTTTATACCGGGAACACGCAGGTTTCTCTCCAAAAATAGGCAGCGCAGAAAGTGGATGAGGAGGACAGAGAGGGGTGGTGGGAGGAGGAGGAGGAGGAGGGGAGTTTGGTTAATGAGCACCAGATGCCTTACCTTCGGTGGTAGCCGCATTCTTTGGAGCTTTGGTTGGTGTGTGATCTGTACTCGAACTGATGTCAGAAGAGATGCTTGAGCTCCCTTTACCTGCGGGGGGAAAAACACAACTGCTGGGACACAGTATGGCAACTTTGGGATGACAAACTGCAGTTACGATTTATCTCTTTTTTTTTTCTTCACACAGCCTTTGATCCCTTCAAGTCGAGCGAAAACTCTTTTTATGGTTAATTCCTATTCGACGGAGACAAGGTGTTTCATGATGTATGTAATACGGTGAGGATGAAGGAAGTTTTCATGACTTCACTTTTGGATGAATGGTTGGGCTTGGCGCGTGCACAAAGTCTTCACTGGTTAGTTTGAGTGAGGCTCCGTTTTTTTTTAATGTTTGGACGAGGAATGACTTCTCCATAAATCCCCCCCCCCCGCCAGAACCTCCTTCGGCTCAAGAGTCCAGCGAGGCTTCGGCAGCAGATTCGGCCTCACCTCTGCTGCTCCGCTGGGAACAAAGACCCCTGGACCGGATCCCTGGGCCCGCTGGAGAAAAGGGAGGCCCGGGAGGACCAGGACTGAGCGGGGCGGACTCTCCTGAAGGGACACTACCGCTTCAGTCCAAAGGGGTCTCCAAGTTCAACGCAAAACGAAAAGTTCTTCTGCCTTCAGTTATGCTCATAAAGACGTACGGCGAGCGGCTCATTCTCCTTCAGGCCGTGCAACTGCCACATGGAGGGGCAGAACCTTCCCTCTACCGGCCTTGCGTCGTTAGATTGCTGCACAGCAACACATTTTCAAAAGAGCTATTCTTTGACTGTGTGCCCGTGATGCCGGAGCGAATCAGGCCGGACCGCCGCGGCGGGTTTTGCGGCGCTTCATTCCTCTGTCACATCATAAATGCAGCTCTGCGGCTTTTCCTGAGACTAAGTGCGCGCCTCTCGCCCAGCACGGGGAGGTATTCTCACCCACGCGCGCACATCACGCGCACACCAGACAGTTCCCGAAATAGGCCGCGCGTATAAAAGTTTACGTAGGGATGCAATCAAGCAAAATGCAGAAAACGGTGCCTCCGCGTTCAGCCACACGAAAGACACGCGATCACGTATGATCTCTCATTTTACGCCGACGCAGCTCGTTTGCTGGGGCTCCAAGCTCGTTCCACTTTTTCTAATAGTAGAGCAGAGGGCGCACGGCTGGAGGCCCCCGGCGACCTTCAGCTGGTAAAAAGGCCTCGGTTCCTCCGCGCGTGAGGATCCGCGCCACGCCGATGGGTTTCTGTTTGTCGCAGAGGAGCAACTTTGAGGGAAGCTCCTGCTCCCCGTCTTGTGCTTGTATGCGTGTCTGATGCCGTGGTGGAGGGCTGCCGCGTAGCCGTGACCAGCGTGCAATTAGATGGGGAATCGCACTTGAGAGCACGGGTGGAAGGTTCTGCACTGGCGACCAGGCCGCAGGCCGTGGACACGGTAAAGACGCCGATACCTTGGGTTGAACATTCTGTTTTGTGGAAGGACTGTGGTTCTAACTCATGTTCAACAAAATAAATATGACTGGCACGATTTGTAAGATCTTCATGGAACCACTGCCAGATGGGAGCTTGTTTTTTTGGACAGTTTTGAATGAAACAACATTTTATCTTCTTGTGTGTCCCTGCACTTAACCAGAAAATTGTTCAGATCCTTGTGAACACACTAAAGATGGAAGTTTTAAATGGGGAACATCAGCAGGAACATCGAGCAGATGCCTCCACTAGAGGCTCTGCTGGGTTTAGAGTGTAAGGCTCATGCGTAATGTTGAAATGAAGAATAAACACTGTGAAAAGTAATGTCTGCTGTCCCACTCCGAGGAATAAAAAAGAAATAATCAGTTGTCATGAAGCGGATTGAGCAAGAGGAGGAGCCACGTATGTGCTGGGATCTGGTCACCTGACCTGGTGGAGCTGGTCCCCTTGTTATGTTTAACGTCACGACGTCCAATCTGTTCGGTGCAGTTATTGACTTAGGAAGAGAGCTCACTGGAATGTTATTTATACAAACATCTCTGCTCCAGAGACCAAAATAATGTGGCCGAGTGGGAATACAGGGTTTTTTTTCTGAATAAGTAATGTTGATTAGATGGAAAAGACGGCCGGTGAGTGAAGAGGCAGAGTAATACAAACACTAATATGGAAGTTTAACTATGCATGTCCCGCTGAGCTCATCAATAAGTTCATGCTGTGTTTTTTACCAATAAATGGCTTTTGGAGGGAATATATATATGTAAATATTACATAAATAAGATTCTACATGTACTACGCATAAGAAGAAAGGAGGATTTTTCTTTTCCTCTTCTGCATGTTTTTGTCGACATATGGATAATGTTGCAGGGGCCAACATGCACAACATGGCTGCCAAATCAAGTAACAGATGGGTTTTTAAGAGATTCGCGATGAAAAATTTTCAGGATTGGCTCTTTATCAAGATAAGACTGACTAAGTGCCAACAGGCCCAAACACTGGTGTCCTTTGACCCGCCTCCACTAAACCTGCAGACAACCACGCTTTGAGAAGTCCATAAATTAATGCACGGTGTCATCTGAAGATTTGGCTGCCAAGTCGGCTCTTTTTGACTGATTATGTGCAGATATTTCATGTATATATTTCATCACGTTTGCTAGTAAATGACATCCCTCTGTCTCAGTTTCATTATGGTACATACAAGTTACAGTAGCAGATTTTTGTATGAACTCCAAATTGTATACTGTACTAAGTGTTTAAAATAGACCACCAGATGTCACTCTGGATAAACGAAGAATATCAACTCATCGTTGATATTATCCCCAGGGGTATTAGCATAATAATGATATACACGTATAAATAAAAAAGTAGTCAATTTAAAGTTAAAAAATGCCACATCAGCACGCATCCTCACAATGTGCAGATGTTTGAATGGAGTTTGGTGCAAACAGAAAACGGTCTGTGGGGATTTGGGAGTTTTCAGCTGGTCCATTAATGGCTATTAGGCCGATCTCCAGGAAGCTACACGCACAAGAAGCATACATTGTTCTCTCTCGTTCTAGTTGCTGCAGATCGCTGTGTGCGGACTTCGATGCGGCGTTGAAACGGGGGGTGGGGGGGTTTAAAGGCGGCGATGAGAGCACTTACCCTCGCTTCCATACTGTTTTCCATTGTTCGCACCCATTTCAAAGAATACATAATCTACGCGCAACACTCGGTGAATCCAACGCAGTTAAATTCCACAGAGGAACCCGGTGCTTCCATGAAGAGAGACGCGACGCAGGCCCGCCAGCCCCGACTCCAAATAGTCAATCCAGATGTGGAGCACGGGACGCCTCGGCATTACGCAAACCCAGAGTCCAGACTGGAGCTTCCAGCGGCGCAGACTTCATATATCTGAACATCCGCGGGACAAAGAGCGCTGAAAGGCTACACGCACGCACGCACAAACGGACCCGCGCGCGCGCACGCGCAAATCCCCTTTTGGAGGAGTTGGAGAGAGAAGTTTTTTTTTTTTGTGAAGTGGCCCAAATGGCAAGCAGCTGTTTATCAGGCTGCGCGCGGCCAGACGACTCGGGGAGGACCCGCGGCTCTCCTCCTCGGGACCCGGACTTAAAGAGACCGCAGGCCGGCGGGGACATGCGGGCATTTAACCAAAGAAGCCCACGACGGGACAGGAATTCATTTCACTTCATTAGGAGTCACCAACTCATATGCCGGAGTAAAAGTGCACAAATCTTTAACGATACTTTAGGGAAGTGAAAAGTAAAATTTCTGCCCCTGAAGTGAGTAGAAGAAGCCTATAAAGTAGCTTAATACCTTCTTTCCACCCGTGGAATGACACAATCACAGTTCATAACTTACACAATGGAAGCAGTCAGTGTACCATTAAGTTATTCCTCCTTAAGTACGTAATTAACATTTAAGCATTATATCATCACAGGTGTGACTTTAAGATTTCCAGCCAATCAGAGTGAAGGACACATCATCTCTAAATGTTCTGAGGATACAGGCCCGCTGACAGAGGAGAATGGTCTAACCACATATTTGGGAATGTGTCTATGAATAGCAGTCGTACAGGTCATCGGATATCTAGGAGTAAAGCTGCAGGACAAAACCAGTTGTCTGCTGTCGACAGGTGACTTAATATCCTGGATGCATGTTGACATTCCTTTCTAAATGCACACAGGATTAACGTGGTATTTTGATATATACTTATATCAAATACAGATTAGAGTGGCCCCTTTAAAGTGTAGAGAAGTTACTTAATGCTTCTGTACAGTCGGTTTAAACTATGGACCAGCGCATGTCACTCTTGGCAAAACGGTTTAAATTGAATTTGGGAACATTCCTGGCTGGAGAGAGAAAACGGTTCCAAATTGAAGTTGAAGAGGTCGTAGGGCAAGTTTCAAGCTGCTCGCTGATGTCCGGGACGAACTAAACGAAGCTACAGACCCAAGGAAGCAATCGTCCACGCCGGAATGCGTCGTATCAAACGCTTGGACCTCCTGCAGAAGCTGTGATTGTTCACTGGATTCAAAAAAGAAAACTGCTGCATCAACTTTGTCTTTGCCAAAACCTTTATTCATTGGAGAAAGCGGCCCGAGTCACGCCATTGCATGCGAGTGATTCAGTTGCACGCGACGCTCACTGGTCACCCGGTGTGAAAACATCCGTGCGAGCGAACGGGTCGGGGTACGAGGCGCCAGCAGGACTCGCGGTTATTTCAGGAAGGAGCTCAGATTCGGCCACGGCGAGGCCTTCCTCCGGCCCCGCTGCACTCTGGGGGCGTGCGGTCAGGGCGCCGCTGGGGGCGGTCACGGTGGTGCTCGAGCGGTGATTTTCGGCCTCTGGGGTGGCCGGACGGCCGGGAGAGAGCGGAGCAGAGGAGGACTCCTCCAGCCTGCCGTGTAACGCCTTCAAGGTCACGGGAACGGACATGAACCTGAAAACGAGGTTAGAGAAAGAGAGAGACCAGGAACGCAAAGATCACTGGAACACAAGTCGATTTCACGCTGCTGCAAATCAGAACGATCTCAATCCCCGTGATGAAGGCCTGGAACTATCGTCCTCTTTAATGAGCCACACCTCTTCATGACAGCGGAAAGGTATTCATCTACAGAGGGATCCACCATTCCGGAGCCGAACAAAGTGCAGGTGATCTGGCTGGAATCACAGACGTTCACCAGCACTGAGAGGAGAAGAGGACGGCAACAATATGCACACGTTTTCTGTCCAAGTCTCTTAATTCATAAAGAACTGGGAGGCCAAGAGCATACAAATCGTAAAACATCAGATAAAAGATAAAAGGTCTTTGTTGTATATTCTGAAATGCTCACAAACGGCAAGCGAGTCGGCGTCAGGTCGCTGGAAGGTCACAGAAAAGCTGGTCTCAGACTCCGGGAGGACCTCCAAGTGCAGGTCAGGCACCGAACCTGCTTTGACGGGATCCATCAACAAACCATCACGTCGCGTTCGCCCGCCGCTGTTCCAGCGGTACCGGCTTTCACGACCTGCAAAAGACGCGCCCCTACCTGCTGCGCCGTCCCCCGGAGGGCCGATGCAGCTCCTCAGCAGCGTGTTGATGGCGCTCTGGTGCCGGAGCAGCTGCAGCAGCGCCGGCACGTGGGCCGGGTGGGTGAAGGGGATGCTGTCCACCGCCGCCGCTCTCTGGGCAGGCGCCTCCCCCCACGCCGCCGCGAGGAGGACGTAGCGGTGCAGCGCGCCATCGGGAAGAGGCTGCGCAGAGAAGCCATTGATTCCCCTTTCAACGTCTCGCAGGAAACCGCGAAAGGCTGGAATTATTTAGCCCGGCGCGAGCGCCGTTACATTTATTGTTGGGATTCCTCGCAAGTGCGTCAATGAACATACATCCGTACCACTGTAAAGATGGTATCCTGCTCATCTGGCAGCTCCCCGGGGCCGTTTGAACGCCCCGTCAGAAGCTTGGGTAAGGGTGCCCACTGCAGGTCAACATCTGGTATGGGAATATCTAGCAAACATCACAGTGGCGGAACAACCGGGAGTCAGAGGGGGCGATCCTTCTGGGCCATTCCTTCAAATTATAATACGTAACTTAATGCATGATGTGCTTTAAAAAGAGGTTAAACGGTGCTTTACATGGTGAAACCTAAATTATTACTTTTTTTTAAAAACACACTGACCTGTAATGTGGCGGAGCTTGTCGACAAACGACAACGTCATTGGTACTGCCGGCTGCAGTTTGAGGAGGAAGCAGGCGGGCAGCGTCTCGTGAGGCGCCTCGGCAGACGACAGGAACACAGGATGACTAACCACACGCCACACAAGTTCACCACGTCAGCACCGCCGGCGCTCACATTCACCGCGGCGTGCCAAAGCAACAAAAAAACTAAAAAGACACGTGGGAGCGATTCAAAAAAACGGCAACACGTCACCCCTGGGGATCCAGCTGTGGAGGCTGTGGGAGCAGCGATGCCATCTGAAGCCTGTGAGCCGCGTCGCTGACACCCACGGTCACCCGGGCGGCCTGGACCGGCGGCTCCGTGGCGGCCGTTTCTTCAAAAAGAAGAGCTTTAGGGGGAAATGGAACAAATGCTGAGGCCCTAAAAGATGCCTCGTGCGTTCAAATGTTAACGGGTCTGTAGAATAAATCCGTTTGACATCTCACGTCGATCTGAGGTCTTCATTCCATCAGTCGGAGGTGCGTAGAACTGGATCGTCATGGGGAAATCTAAAGCGATAAAACAAACGTGAGCTGAAGGAAGTGATGCGGCCGTTCTTTACGCCGCCGTTTCTCCTCTTCGTCTACCTTCTTTTTCAGCTATCAGACACCCACTTCTGCCGTGGTTCATCACGTCCACTCGGGGGTCCGAGTCCTTCGGCACGCTGGAAAAAATAAACATCTGCATGAATAAAATACACTAAAAGTTGATTTGTTGCAGCTCTGATTTGTGGCCCTTGTGTTTTTAAAGTCCTTCACCTTGGCAGTTGGGAGATCTGCTGCAAGTCTTTCCAGAGCCATTGCATGGATGAAAACAATTTCAATCGAGTTTCACTGAAACATCAAAAAAAGAAGAAATAGTCAAATGACTCCAGGTGATTATAAACGGTTAATTCTTTATGTTTAAAGAGCAGGTAGACCTGTCTCCTGGGATGTCGTACTGCGTGAAGAGGCCCGCCAACTTCACGGAGAACTCTGCAAACTCTTTTGACCTGCGGCGTCGAAAAGCGAGCAAACTGCCAGCGTGTAAAACAGGGCGTCGCTGTGTGACCGTCATGCGCTTACCTCAGCAGCTGGAGAAAGGACTCGCTGGGCTGCAAGACAATTGCATCTCGTTATCACTCGCGGTAAAAGGGGTGAGTGGAGTGAGAGGCCGCGCAGTCCACTTACGACGGGGGCTTTTCCGTGTGGGGCCACCTTCACCTCCGCCACCCCGCCGTAGGGCAGCAACACCACCTCCAGGTAGAACAGATCCGCCGTCAGGTAGCACGTGGCCTCGGTGAGGTGGAAGCCCATTCTGAGGGGAGACAGAGAGGGAAGGCGGGGGGGGGGGGGGGGATGTGTGCCAAAGATTTAAATGGTAAAATACCTGGAGTTTAAAGCCAACGCTCTAACCCTTGTTGTTTGGCAATCATCTCCAGACGGGACCTCATGGTTTTCATAGAGGACACTGAAACAAACAGACCAACTTACGCTCACGTCAAGAACACACGTGTGCTGAAACACACAGTGAATCATGGGTGTGTCGTTTGTTTACCGTTAAACACGTCCTGGAGCCTTTCCAGAGATCTAACCAGCGGCCTACAGGGTTTGGATTTGTCCTTGGGTTTGTCCTGTTTGGACACAAAGGGACGACACAAAAACAACAATGGTCCGGTTGTGTAGCAAAGTCATCTTTGTGTAAACGGTCTTTGGTCCCGCCAGCCCATCCCGTGACCCCCTTTGGGTGCTCTGCACTCGGGGATAGTTGCGTTTTTAAAAAAACCTGCAGCAATACATTCTACAAGTGCTTTTTTTTTTTTTTTTCTTGAGAGGCCTGGTCCTATAAAAGTTCTATTCAGCATCGCTGCTGGCACGAAGCTGCATGACTAACCCCAGATGCCTTATCCCCCTTGGACCACACATCACTTCAGACCACCAGCTAATCACGATTCTTTACGAGACTCCGGAGACTGACCACTGCCAAGCTCCACTTTGCATTAATCCCAAAGTATTATCCATCCCACCGCCCCAGCCATGACAAATAGAAAGAAAACAAACACGCCCTCTCATAGCCTAAAGCACACGTCTTGTTTTCCCAGTGCTAAATCCACATTACACATTGCGGCCCTTTTGTCAGGCGGAAACGACACTGGAGTCTGTGAAGCATCGCGTGTTCGGCCCTGATCTCAAAGCCTGATCGTATCCATCTGCATCTTTCCGAGAACAAACGTTAATTTGAGTGTCAAATGTATTAAAAACAAAGCCACGGCCAGAAGACAAATCTAAAAAAAACAGCAACTGTGTGTTGTTTCAAAAGGGCTCTGCACTCATAGTATACGCCATGTGGTCCAAGTTAGCCTCCACGCACAAACTGACCCAACAACAAAGACGTTGTGTGTTGATGGTCAGATGAGGTCATTCCCAGTGCATCACCACACCAGTTCCCCATTTGCAAATCGGCATCATCTTAACCAATAAAGTGTTAAACTTTATGTCCATTCAGTGCATATATCTCATATATGTGGAATTGATTTCACCATGCATCTTCTGACGAGTTGGAAGGTTTCATTCCAGGTTTTCTCTGCAAATTTCAAGTGCAGTTTGGAGATTTTGGACTCCATGACTAAAGCTGCACACAAAGGGGAACAAACGGCAGTCGTTAAAACAGCAGCACACACATTTTTTGTAGTTTTCAAGTAGTTTACGGTTGGATATCGACTGATAAAACGTTGAACCAGCATCACCTTCCTCCTGCAAGTCACCCCTGCTGATTTGACAACCGTCTGCACCTGAACACACGGGCCAACATGTACGAGCATCCGACCAATCAAATGCACGTTCAATAAACTGCCCTTAATGTCCAACAACGATCCAAACTCATGTGGGCATTGCGTCATTATTTTAAACTGTTGGTGGGAGACGCTTTTATGATGAGTGACGAACCGATTCGCACACGCACTGACACACACGCACAAAGAGGTGAAGCCGAGCGTCGCCTGGTTCTCGCGGGCGGGCGTTGTCAGACGGAGCCGAGGAGCCGCAGGACGCGCAGCCACACCGCGGCTGAGTCTCTGGAGCGAGCCAGGCGGAGCTAGCCATGAGCTAACGGAGCACCGCGGCTAAACCGATCCTCCGTGTAACGACGAACCGAGGGGAACACGGGTCCGTGTGCCGGGTAGGTGATGTCAGTGAAGTCGACGCTGCCGTTGCAACGCCTCGTTACGTCCCCGTTTGTTGTCTTCTTAAAAAAATATATGCATTTGTACATTTTTACCGCGACGTAATTGGGTTGGGAGTAGCTGCTCGTTATCGGTTGCTAGCATTCCCCCTTTTTTGTGGCTACCGAACAGCTGTTGCCGGGTAACCGATTTTAAGTGTGTATGCGTGTTTTTTTCTTCTTTTTTTTAATGCGTTATCTGAATAACCTATATATATTCACCTAAATAACGTGACGGTGACGTTTGCCTTGCGTGAGTCGGCTAGTTAGCTTGTTAGCCACATCGTAGTCAACCTGCTAGCTAACTGTTAGTTCACCTGCTGTTTGACATGGCACCAGCTAACATAACATGCTAACAAGTTGGCACGATTGGAGGAGAACTGCGTGTTGATATTCGTGATTCCGGTTGTAACAACGAGGTGAAATGGTCACTTGGTTCAGGTGATTTTACTGGGTTGATGACGTGCCTGTGTATCGAACTGCAGGTAACGTTAATGAGCCAATTTCAAAATCACCTTAGAATTAACCTTTAGTCACGTGGTTATAATGACACTTTAAATGCTAAAGGTGGTTGCTATGATCCACCGATATATATACACCATTTGTTAAGAGTTAACTTGCATTTCTTTGCCTTTTTTTTAAATGATTAAAGTGAAAGGATATTTCATCCTGTAGTAAATCGTATTATTGACTTTTAGTGCATTCACCCTCTTTTTGTTAATGTGTATAATGACCTGCTGGCTGCACTCCCATCTTCATCAGAGGAGGTCTGCGTGGACCTGTGATGAGGAGAGCGCATTTCATGTCAGGTTTTTATCCAGTCCTGTCAAAAATGTGTCTTCTGTCATCCAGAACCTTAAAACAAATATATTTCTCTGCTGAATAGATTTCAAAGAGACGTTTTAGGTTAATGGAATTGGCCCACTGTATGCAATGGCAGTAAAGTCTACTTCTCTATATTTCATCACTGTTGTGAGTAGGGGCTTTGCAAACAAGGCGAGGCGGCTTCTTAATTTTCTGATCTATCTGCATAACGGTACTGGGAAACACTGCCTAATTACTTTTAGGTAAAGAAACCGTATGAAGTAAAAAGCTACATAAGGGGAAATGTAATCTTTCTGCAGGAGCATACCAATGATAAATAACACAGATCATAAAGCCGTTTTTTAAGGCACCATTTCAGTGCAGATGCTCATCATCACGTTTCATCTTTCTGCAGTCTTAAGCAAGAACCGAGCATACGCCACTGCACTGATGTCATATTTACAGTGTAGTGCCAGTTTCTCCTGGTTATAAGAGGCAGTCATGGCATCGCAATCTTAGCTGCAGGAATAGATTCAAGAGCCTCGTAAATGATCCAAAATCTCTGGATTTCTTCTTCTCATTTACCTTTTTTTTCCTATTTCCTCCCCAGGAATAATAAGTCGGCCCCCTTGTTGCAGCTGGACTTTTATAGCCTTCCTCTCCCGATCCTTCCCGTTACCTTTCACGCTCGGATCTCTCGCAAAGCACAGCCATGGCAGCTGCTAAGCCGAAAGGGCAGAACTCTCTAGCCCTTCACAAAGTGATCATGGTGGGCAGTGGAGGGGTGGGGAAGTCCGCCCTCACGCTCCAGTTCATGTATGATGAGGTGAGCAACTTGCACCACAAGCAGCAGTGTTCCTTCTTTGCACAGTTGTTGGTGTGAATATATGTATTTGTTTTGCTTTGCAGTTTGTGGAAGACTACGAGCCCACCAAGGCAGACAGCTACAGGAAGAAAGTGGTGCTGGACGGAGAAGAGGTGCAGATCGACATCCTCGACACGGCTGGACAAGAGGACTACGCAGCCATCCGAGATAACTACTTCCGCAGCGGCGAGGGTTTCCTCTGCGTGTTCTCCATCACGGAACTGGAATCATTCGCAGCGACTGTCGACTTCAGGTCCGCTAGCAAACGAGAGAGTTTAACATCCTTTAGATTTTACCGAGTGTGACCACTGTGCGTCTTCCCCCTGCTAAAATGCAAAAGCTTTATTCATTTTCCCATTTCAGAACATCATTCGAGGCGCCTGTATGTTTTTCTGATTCTACCTCGTTCACCCTCTTTGCAGAGAGCAGATTCTGCGAGTGAAGGAGGATGAAAACGTGCCGTTCCTCTTAGTTGGGAACAAGTCTGATTTGGACGACCGGCGGCAGGTCAGCGCCGACGAGGCGAAGGCCCGCGCCGAGCAGTGGGGCGTGTGCTACGTGGAGACCTCTGCTAAAACCCGGGCCAATGTGGACAAGGTACGTAGGACTAGCGGGAGTTTACGCCGTTGGTGTCTGTCCAAACAAGGTGGTGTCAACTCCTCCCCCTTTTTTTTTTAAAACAGGTGTTCTTTGACCTGATGAGAGAGATCCGAGCGAGGAAAATGGAGGACAGCAAAGAGAAGAACGGGAAAAAGAAAAGTAAAAGTTTGGCCAAGAGAATTCGTGAGAGATGCTGTATTTTATAGTGGTAAAGAGGGCAGGGTGGCTGCTTATGTACAAATCCATTTCTCAGACTTTTGCATTTATTTTGTGCCCACACCTGACTATGACTTTCTGACTGCGTGTCGGGGAGTAGTAAGGTGCCCCCCCCCCACACTCACCATTTATAGCTCTAACTCTATGTGCTGACACTCCAAATACCTGATGTGTCTTCCCTGTCTCTTGTCTCTCTCTTAATCCGACCACATTACAAAGTCAGGCTGGTGTTTGGTTTTAGGCCTAAGCCCCAAAAATGTTACCAAACCTTTCATTGTAAAGTACGATGTGTATAATATATTCAGACAAATGCGCAGAAGAAACCAATGCGAGCGTCAGAGCCGAGGTTTGGGCGGGATAGTGGGGGAGAAGATGTACGTGGACAGACTCTGTGTCAACCCAGAATTCATCAAGTGCCACCAAGGAAATGTACGTTGAACGAGGGAATCTGAGAAGCGCTTCAATTGAAAGGTTGTTACGAAGAGCGCAAGTGTGATGCCATTCCCAGTTATCAATTCTTCCACGTGGTACAGTTATGGAGTCCAACCTTTTCTTCCATTTGTTGTCCTCCGTCCCGGCAACCAGCGTAAGCTAGCAGAGCACCGATGGTTCCGTTTTCTTCCCCTTTCGCGTCGTTTAATCCTCTCAAATGCACAAAACGTTGATCGTTCTTCGAAATCTGTGAGTGATTTTCTAACACTTTTTTCAGTAACATTTCAGATGTTTTACCTCATTTCGCCAACAACTTTCTTTGCCTTTTTTTTTTTTTTTCTTTTGATAAATGAATCCCAGGTGCTCCGGATAAAAGGCGGTTCCACAACACTACGTCCTCCCCTGCTGTTTGTAAACCCATCGGGGAAAGTCGGGTAAAGATTTATTTTTCCAGATTTAGCTTTTTCTGGCTCTGGATTTTAATCACCATCCGTGTAGTTCCTCTTTTTTTCTTTTAACCTAAACGTATTCCTTTTTAATAAGGAATTGATCAATTCGAAGGCATACAATGTCAAAATGAAGGCAGGCTCAATAGAAGTAAAGTGGTACCTGTCCAAAAAGTTGCTCCCATACACCAAAGAAGTGTGCTAGCTAGAACAGACAAGTGCCCACTCATTACTGATGTGAATGACAACTTTCTGCAGAGCGCAAGAGGAGGAAACACTGCACAGCTTGTTTCAGATCTCCCCGTGCACACAGCTGAGGAACTTTAATTCTGAACGGCTTGGGAATGAAATGCAAGGCTACGGGCGGTTTAGTCATTCCTGTACAGTGCATCACTGTTGCCTCTCTGTCCATTGTGAATGTGAATAACCCCCCCCCACACACACACACCAACCCCCTCCTTTCTGCCCCCATCCTGTTTGCCTGTAATCTTAGCCTGCCAGTGATGTGCAGAGTTTAAAAGGTCATTCTGCTTTGTTTACCTTCTGCTTCCCACCCGGCCTGTTCATTTTCTTATGCAGTAGTCATTTTACAGGCAAATAAGGATTAAAGCAGTGGGGGGGGAATGAAGAATTGCCTGGACCAAAACCCACTGTGAAGTCCCCCCCCTCACCCGCTCGGCTCGCTTAGTTTCTCTTTTATGACTGAACCAATTTATGTCTTTTAGCTTATTTAAAGTTTAACTTATTTTTTTTTACTATCAAAGTGTGACCACTATCCAGGGGTTATTGCAACGGCTCACCATTTACATGAGGATTTCCTCACCCAATAGGAAGCCCAACACTGGAGTCTATGCAAAAGAATGTATCATTGTAATTGCAAAGAGGACGAGAACAAGAAAGTTGGAGACAATTCAAACCAGTGTCGGCAAGAGACTAGAAGCATTTAAACTGAAATGCCGATTAGAGATCTGACCCCAGCGCATATGCTTTTATGTTTGAAAACACTAAACATTGTTAATACAGTAACACTAATTAACTCATGGCTTTGATTACAGGCTTTGTTTGTCATACATGTCATTGTTTTATTCATACAAGGGAAAAAATGCAAAAGAATGTCCGTGGGATTTCATGTAAACTGAAAAGCACAGAGTTTTAAAATGTAAAGATATGTGACGCGAAACCCCAAATGTTGGGAAGTCGTGGCAACAGAATGTTTAGAAAGTAGTTTGAGTAAATGTTTTAAGGGCTAACCTCCAGCACGCCGCACCGTGATGGAAACGCAGCTGAAAGTTGAAGTGACAGGCGCAGAAAGCGACGTGAGCGAACCGCCATTTTATCAACTGCCGTGTGTCCTCATCGTTGGGGAGAAGCCACCACCGTAGTGCTTGTTTGCTCGCAACATATGCATATAAAACTATTGTTTTGGTGCTTTTATCATTCTTCATGTTAATATGGCCGAACGGATTTAATTGGGGATTCTAAAACCGACATTTGTGTGAACGCCATGAAGAAGCGGTCCTTCGGGGTATTAACATATTTTGTTTTGCCTTTTATATAAGTACCCGCGTAAAGCGTAAATATCAGTCTATTTGATTGGGTGTATGTATGCCATCAATTCAATATCTCCTTCATGTTCATTTCATATGAACTCAACCACTGATGTAGACTGTTTGTGAAGGCAAGACGTGAAGCTTTGATTTCAGTTATTTTTGTTTGTTAGTGAGGTACTTTGAAATGAGAAATAAAGTGGATATTACTAATGACATTTTTCAAATGTATTATTCAGATGTTCTTTGTCTTTTTGTTCTTTGTATTTCTGTGATCACACTGCAGAACACGGCCTTTTATATCAATCAAGTCAAGGCCAATTGAAAAATGTATATTAGTTACTGTCAATATTTTTTTCCTGTCACTTTAAACTTTAATGTACATTTACATGCACTCAGATGGCTTGGCTTAGACCATATTTCTGTGTTTACACAGACACAAACTTAAAGTAGTTGGTGTAGTCCTGTTTCATAACAGTGGAACTAATGTAAACTACTGCCAACATATTTGAATCAAGTGTGTATAAAATTGGCACCATGCCCACATTAAATATAAACACATGGTCTGTGTAATGTGGAAATCTTTAGAGTATTTTAATATATTATTTTATATTTATTTTTCTACAATACCAGTAATACGTTTAATGACTGCATCTCAATGTCACTCATGTCAGACAATAACATTGTAGCAGCTGCACATCACCCGGTTATATTCTCAGTATTTTAACATTTTTTATGAAATAATATAATAGATTATCTCCCTAAATAAATATCTGTATCCGCAAGTTTTCCAAAGATCTCATATGTAGTTCATGAAATAAGAAACCAAAAACATACTTTGCCTTTTGTATGAATTGATGAGTCTATTTCTACATAATTTGTTTGTTATATTGTGGCAGTAGGGGGGGGGGTCTCTTGGCTGTGACGTAACCGCTGACGAGGATTACGCATGCGGGTATCATTGGTTCACACCGACGCACAAGGCCTGTAGTTCGAAAGCCGTCTCGGGCCTGGCGAATTGCGCCGCTAGCAACATTGCGAACAAAGTTACAATATTTGGAAATATATTCATGGGATAGTGGGGCATTTTGTCACGGAAACACGGTTGCTGCTTTTAGACCACGTGGCGGTGAGTGGTAGCAATGGCCCGGCGAGATGCGTGAGAGCAGGCGTGTTTTTTTAAACAGCATTGTTATAAGGCATCCCGACTGAGTTGCATTGAACTCCACGCAAGGAGAAAGGGAAGCTAGCTGGCTAAGGTGCTAGCTGGCTAGCGGCGGCTATCCAGCCAACTCGTGTGCTATTCACTTCCTTGTTGCACATTGGAGTGTGATGGAAGGCGAGAAGAAGTTTGTGGAGGGGAGACGGAGTTTTTTTACTTCGACTTTAACGCGATCTGGATATTGGCTTTACATGCTCGCATGAGCGGCAACCTTACAGAAGAACTGGATTTTAGACTTCCAGTGGCGTCAGGCCTGTGCTTTGACCATGAGATGGAATGCGACTGTCTAGCTGTACACAGTTAGCTATTGGAGGCTAGCTGGCTAACCCGACTGCTATTAGCTAGCAAAACTGCGAGCTTTCCGTCCTGGAGTACAACGTTTGAGAACCAACTGTTTCTATAACTAAACGGCATATTGTGGATTTTATGTGGCGGAATCTACAGGTACAAAGTGTCATGAAGTAACTACCTTTGGGGGTAACTTTATTTTCTTTAATCTGATACGAGCTAGCGTCGTAATGCTAATATTAGCTAACGCTAGCTACCTGTCCTGATTGTGAATTTGCTGTAACGTTAGCTAACTAGCCTGTCGACGTTTCACCGCTAAGCCAATGTTTTTGTTCCACGACACAACAAGGAGCATAGTTTAACTAGCGAATACAATATACAGATTCTTCTCAACGTGGCTCTGAGGAGGGGGTGGGGGGGGGTTCATTTTATTTTTTAGATAAATGCCTAATTCGGAGGTGCTTCGCGAGGGTCGCGGACGGAGCCCCTCTGCTCAGAGGAATGCTAACAGACAGGACAGGCGCAGTAAGCCGGGGAGCGGCGCTGCTCAGCGAGACAAACACCGTGAGAAGAGGCGCCTGTCGGCTTCTCGCAGAAAGAAACGCAGGCCGACCAAGGGGAGAGACGTGTGGCACGCCGGCGTCACGGGAGACCCCGACGTTGATCGAAAGGGCGCTTTCGGTAAGGACGCTGAACTTCGGACACTGGTAGAGTATGACGACGTTAGCTCCCAGTCGGAGCGGTTTTCTGGCAGCCCTTCTCCCAAACTGGACCCCCACGCTGACCGGCTTTCGGTGGATCGACTGAGCGATGCTGACTTGGGTGACAGTAACGGACCGGCTTCTCCAGACAGAAGTCGCCCGAGAAACCGGGAGGCGGCGTGCAAGGAGGCACAAAGCCGGGGGGCGTCCGAGAGGAGCAAGCAAGAGAAGGAGCAGAGCCGGAAAAGGGACCGCCAGAGCCGCGAGAGAGACTCCTCCAAAGTTAGGAGTGGAGGCAGCCTCGGTGGCTCCAAAACCCCCAGAGACACTACAAGGAGCAATGACAGGAATGGCAAAAGGACATCTTCCTCCCAGGCCTCGCAATCTGCAGACAAACGGGATTCAAAAAGGCCGAAGAGTAAAACGAGATCTGATAAAGAGCAGCCATCTGCATACAGAGAGGCTCCACAAGCTTACAGGGATGAGCGTGAAGACCTCCGGGCGTACAGGAGAAGTCCCGGTCTCAAAGGAGAAAGTCCCTATGGGACGTCTTATTCATATAGCTACCAGTCTCCCGCTGGTTACAACCAGCAAATATCGAGAAGAAGTCCAACTTACGGGAGCAAAAGAGTGTCCCCCAGTTCCACATACTACAACCGGGATGCCGATGGCTACGGGGCGTACGGGGCGCCCAAGTCACCCAGTTCCTACTCCACCAACAAGAGGAAGCGGTCTCCGACGAGCCCGGCGACCTGGCGCAGGTCCCCGAGCTACGGCCGACACAGTCCTTTTGACCAAGGGGAGTTTGCTTCTAGTCCTTATGGAAACCGCAGGAGGTCTCGAAGTCCATACAGAAAGTCCATGAGCCCAAGTCCAGATGTCAGGTCAGTTCTTACAAAGTCGGTGGGATGCTGCGTGTACACACAACAAAGTTGGAACATTTTATATTTATTTAGGCTTTATGCTTATATTGGCCTTCCCAAAAACCTTTGACCAGCACTTGACATTTGTGTTGTCATTCTTTTGTAATCTCTTGTAATTGTCTCACACAAGCAATTAAATATGCCACGAGGTTTGTAGAGTTGAAACAAAATCTAAAAGTGTCTATTTTCTCTCCAGGCGATCTGCTCGATCCCGTAGCCGAAGTCCGTATGCACCCGCGAGGCGCTCGCGCTCTCGTAGCCGTCATCGGCACTCGCGCTCCCGCAGTCGCCCCTCCAGCCTCTCGCCGAGCACGCTCACCTTCAAAACCAGTCTCGCCGCGGAACTCAGCAAGCAGAAGAAGGTAAAAGCCGCGGAAGCGGCGGCCAAGGCCAAGAACTCCAGCAACACGTCTACTCCTACCAAGGGTTCCTCGTCGGCCCACCAACCCAGCCCCAAGTCCAATCACACGTCCAGAAAAGGCCGCCCGCCGTCTCCACCGCCGCCGGAGAAAGGTCCCAGGACCCCCACGTCGAGCCTGCCCCAGTCCCCCGCCGACAGGTCGGCCAAGAGGGCCGCCGAGCACCAGACCGGCAGGGACGGCAAGGGGAAAGATGACTGTGTGCTTCGGGACAAGAGGAAAGCACCAGCAGCTGCACCGAGCAAAGAGAAGGAACGAGCCACCGGGCCAATCATCTCCGCTCTACCGTCCCTGCCGCTGCCCCCAATGGTTCTTGAGCACATCAGTAAAGGAGAAAGGTATGGATGTGTCATCGAGCCAACTGAGCAGCAATTCTTGTTAATAGTCGGCACTCAATCCCTTCTCTCTGTGTCTCCAGCCTGAAGGACAGCTTGCTCTCGGGGAAGAAAAAGTCCGAGAGAAAGGCTCGTCCGCTACTTTCCGACTTGCCCCTCCCCCCCGAACTTCCGGGTGGCACGTCCTCCCCGCACAGCCCACCCGACGACAAAAAGCCCCAAACCCTTCGCCGGAGACCAAAGTATGTCACGGAGCAGTTGTGATCTTAACCCGTCGTCTGCTGCATGTTCACCGAGCTTCCGCTGAAATATGTTTTCTTTGATTTCCTAGAATCTGTGGCCCAAGACACGGCGAGATAAAGGAAACGGAGATCGATTGGGGCAAACGCTGCGTCGATAAGTTTGAGATTATTGGAATCACGGGGGAAGGCACCTACGGTCAGGTGTACAAAGCTAAAGACAAAGACACCGGTGAGTGAAGATGTATGTTCATCTTGTTACCCCGCGTGTAAATAGGGGTCCATTTGCAGGGATCTCTAGAGGCGAAATGTAAGCAATCGTAGATGAGCATCTGTTTAGGGTGAGACTCTTGACACGACTCTGCGTTCTGCTCCGTAGCTGAGATGGTGGCTTTGAAGAAAGTTCGGCTGGACAACGAAAAGGAGGGCTTCCCGATCACCGCCATCAGAGAGATTAAGATTTTGCGACAACTCAACCACAAGAGCATCATAAACATGAAGGAGATCGTCACAGACAAGGAGGATGCTCTGGATTTCAAGAACGATAAAGGTGCTGCATGTTTTTTTTTTTAATTTATATCCGACAACACAATGTGGCTTTGTGTAACACAGTGGCTGTTTTTTTTCCCGAATGACTAAATCTTTCCTCTCATCTCAGGCGCGTTCTACCTTGTGTTTGAATACATGGACCACGACCTGATGGGTCTGCTGGAGTCCGGTCTGGTCCATTTCACCGAGAGCCACATCAAGTCGTTCATGCGACAGCTGCTCGAGGGCCTCGATTACTGCCACAAGAAGAACTTTCTGCACAGAGACATCAAGTGTTCCAATATTCTGCTCAATAACAAGTGAGTCCTCCGTATGAGCGGCGTTCACGGTTCATTGCACAGTCGCGCATTCTTTCCCCCGACTACGTTAATTATCGCTTCTTCCTCCTATTCAGAGGTCAAATAAAGCTGGCAGATTTTGGTCTTGCTCGGCTGTATAACTCTGAAGAGAGGTGAGTCTCCGATGTTCCTAGTATATATACGTACAGTAGATATCCACCACAGCATTTCAAGAGCTCTTGCCTTTGCAATTTTGTGTGATGA